CAATGCTTGAGCACACACACTCCTTCCTGCATCTGTGTGCACAGGTGCAAGAATTTCTCTAGGACACTAACTGGAAGGGGAACTGCTAAGTCAAAGGGCATAGGTATGTAATGGGAGGTTAAAATGTGAGTTTTTCTGTTGTCTCAGTTTTGTCCTAAGGCCACACAGTCTGAGGAAAATCTGGTAGATGGGAGTTTTTTACCTATGTACAGCATACCTATTTATAAAAAAAAAAAAAAAGCTAAACATGGGATGCCTGGGTGGCTCAGTCAGGTAAGTGCCTTCGGCTCAGATCATGATCCCAAGGTCCTAGGATTGAGTCACACATTGGGCTCCTTGCTTAGCTGGGAGCTGCTTCTCCCTCTGCCTGCTGCTCCCCCTGCTTGTGCTGTCTCTCTGACAAATAAATATAATCTTAAAAAAACAAACAAACAAACAAGAAAAAGCTAAACATTCTTTAAGGCATGTGAGGATTTCTTTAGGCTGAGTTGTTGTAATGTTGTGCACTGTAGCACCTCTCCTCCCCCTGGCAGATGAAGGTACTTTAAGAGAACGACCTGCGACCCACAACTCTACAGTCAACTAATCTTTGGCAAAGCAGGAAAGAATATCCAATGGAAAAGACAGTCTCTTCAACAAGTGGTGTTGGGAAAATTGGACAGCCACATGCAGAAGAATGAAACTGGACCACTCTTAACACCATACACAAAATAAATTCAAAATGGATGAAAGGCCTAACTGTGAGACAGGAACCCCTCAAAATCCTAGAGGTGAAAAAGAAGCAGCAACCTCTTTGACCTTGGCCATAGCAACTTTTTACTAGACATATCACTGGAAGCAAGGGAAATAAAAGCAAAAATGAACTATTGGGACTTCATCAAGATAAAAGGCTTTTGCACAGTGAAGGAAACAATCAATAAAACCAAAATGCAACCTATGGAATGAAAGAAGATATTTGCAAATGGTAAGTTGAATATAGGACTAGTAACCATAATCTATAAAGAATTCATAAAAATCACCACCCAAAAAACAAAAATCCAGTCAAGAAATGGGCAGAAGACATGAATAGACATTTCTCCAAAGTAGACACACAAATGGCCAACAGATACATGAAGTAAAGCTCCACATCACTTGGCATCAGAGAAATACAAATCAAAAGCACCATGAGATACCCCCTTATGCCAGTTAGAATGGCTAAAATTAACAAGACAGGGAACAACAAATGTTAGCGAGGCTGTGGAGAAAAGTTTAGTGGGAATGCAAACTGGTACAGCCACTCTGGAAAACAGTATGGCCTTTCCTCAAAAAGTTACAAATAGAACTACTCTACAAGTCAGCAGTTGCACTACTAGACAGTTACTCAGAGGATACAAAAGTGCTGATTTGAAGGGGCACCTGCACCCTAATGTCTACAGCAGCACTACCGACAGTGGATAAAGAAGGTGTGGCATACATATACAATGGAAAAAGAATGAAATCGTGCCATTTGCAACAATGTGGATGGATCTAGAGGGTATTATGCTAAACGAAATAAGTCTTTCAGAGAAAGACGAAAATCATACGATTTCACGCATATGTGGAATTTCAGAAACAAAACAGAAGAACATAGGGGAAGGGAAGGAAAAAATAGAATAAGATAAAAACAGAGAGGAAGGGGTGCCTGGGTGGCTCAGTTGGTTGACCATTGGACTCTTGATTTTAGCTCAGATCAGGATCTCAGGGTCTCCAGATTAAGCCTCGTGTCAAGCTCCCTACTCAGCACTGAGTCTGCTTGTCCCTGTTCCTCCCTCTTTGCCCCTCTGCTCACTTGCTTATTCTCAATCTCTCTCTATAGAATAAATAAATAAAATCTTCAAAAAAAAAAAGGGGGGGAGGCAAAACATAAGAGACCATAGTTAAGAAGGTTGCTAAAGGGGAGGTGGAGGGGGGTGGGCTAGATGGGGGATGGGCATTAAAGAAGACGCTTGCGTTGAGCACTGGGTGTTACATGTAAATGATGATTCACTAAATTCTACTCCCAAAACCAATCTTACAATATTTGTGACCTAACTTTAAATTTAAAAAATAATAATAAATAAGCAAACAAGTAAATAAGTAAAAGAACCTGTTGGGGAGCTGGGCTTTGTTCCCTAATGCCTGATGTGTTCATTTCCTAGGACTGCCATAATGAAGTGCCACAATCTGGATTGCTTAAAACCAAAGATGTATTCGCTCCCACTTCTGGAGCCCGTAAGTCCGAAACCAAGCCCTGTTCCCTCTGAAACCTCTAGGAGAGAATTCTTCCTTGCCTCTTCCTAGGTTTTAGTATTTGCTGCAATTCCTGGTGTTATCCTGACTTGCAGAAGCATCAGTCCAGTCTTTGCCTCTGTTGCCATAGGGCCATCTCCTCCCTCTGTATCTCTGTCCTCTTACAAGGAGAGTTGTGTTGGACTAGGAACTTAACCCACTTCCATCTGATCTCATCTTAATTACATCTGCACCTCTCTCAAGACCCTGTTTCCAAATAAATTCACACCCTGGGATATTGGGGGGTTAAGACTTCAACATATCATTTTGGGGGATGCAGTTCAACCCTAACACTTCAGAGTATAAGACAATTGGCTAGGAGCACAGCTGCCTGTGGCCACAGAGACAAAAGATCAGTGTTGGGAGCCGGTTGCATTTTCACCAGCTGGGTGAAGGTGTGAAGGACAAGGGGGTCAAGTTTTCTACATGTTATATGCAAACCCCCTCAAAATGGGTTAGTTTTGAGTCATCTTGAATAGGCTTTCAAGAGGGCTTCTGTCAACCGGTGAGGCAATCTCCACTGAAATATGTTGGGAGCACAGTCTACAGAAGCTGGGGCAGGGGTGGGGATGAGAGAAGGGAAATGTCAGCAGGAGGCTGAGTGAATGAGAGATCTCCAGCAAGGGAACCCACCAAACAGCCTGGAAAAAAGAAGCCAGCTTTGGAAAGCTGCCATCCCTAGAAGTTATGAATGACTGGTGACAATTTGATATTTCACAGTCAAGGAAGTTTTTTCAGTTCTTCCTACCCTCACCCTTGTTGACCCAATATCAGCCAGGGAGCAAGGAAGGAGCAATAGAGAAAAAGAAAAAAAAAAAACCACCACGTCACGGGATTGGGGAGCAGGGAAGTTTTTACTCTGGTCGAGGTGTTTGGAATTTGGACACTAGAATGGACTTTTTGTTATCTGAATGAACATGACCAGGAAAGCTGTAAGGTCTGCTCATAATTTCACCCAAAGGTGATGAGTGAAGAGCAAGAGAATGGGCCAAAGGGAGAAGTTGTGAGAAAAATGAAAATTATTTTCTACTTACTCTTTGCCAAGTTCAACTCATTTAATAAGTCAGTAACATACATTTTAAATTTTGACAAAGACTTTCAAATTATCTTCAAAAAATGTCTGAATCAATAAGCATGCTAATACTGATTGTGAGGGTATTAATTTCCCCACATGTTCATCACAATTGATCGTTCAAGATTTGAGCAGTATGATGGCCTAAAAAATACCACGTTGATTTTTTTCTACTTCCTCCATTACCAGAGTGTTTGAACATTTTTTGTGCTTATCGATAATTTGCATTTCATCTTGTGAATTGCCTATCTATGACATGTATCACTTCTAGTAGGTTCCTTATATTTTCCTTGATTATTTTTATGTAATTGTTAGTGTAATCTAGATGTTGGGGTCAATTCATAAAACTGTGTTTTCAGGGACCAAGGACTAACCAGAATACAAATGGACAAATTTGCCATCAAACCTTCCTACCCATGACTTGTGTCTTAATCACTGTGGCAGCTGCTCCTTTGCTTTCTAAAGTCCATGGGCACAAGTGGCTACCAGCTACCTTTGCCCTTCATTGAAACATGACAATTCAGGAGCCAAGCTCCACTCAATTCTGCAAATCAGTCCAGTTATCAACTGTCCTGACGGAATTCCAGCAGTGGTGGGCCACTCCAAACTCAAGAAACAGAAGGTCATTTGTAAGCCTCGTGGGGTGGGAGGAATATCCGGCTTCTCTCTGGAGAGGTACAAATGGAGGAAGAAGCAGCAGGAAAGAGAGCAAAGGCCTGACCTTCAACTTGAAGTTCTCTCACTCATCTCAAAATCACATCTATACCTTAAATTTTGTGGTTATTTCCCACTTAGTCCACTTTCCACCATTCCATAGGTAAGCTTTGCTGAGAAGAGTTACAGACTTAACCCCGATCATAGAAGACCAGTGAAAGAAAAGGAATGGGAAGGAGTGATGGTGGAGTCCATCACTGGGCAGGCTACACATGGGGCCAAGGGTCTCCAGGATGGACCACACCCACCTTGTAGAGAGTCAGTTCTTGGGGCACCTTGGTGGCTGTCGGTTGAGCATCCAACTTTTGATTTCAGCTCAGGTCATGATCTCAAGCTTGTGAGATCGAGTCCCCTGCGGGGCTTGGCGCTCTGCGGGGAGGGTGCTTGGGGTTCTCTTTTTCTCCCTCTGCCCCACCCCCTGCTCTGTCTCTCTTTCTCTTTCTCTCTCTCAAAACAAAACAATAACAAAACAGTTCTTGTGGCTAAAAGAAGCAGGAGTTTGTGCCAGTGTAAGGTGTGTGCTTGTTAAAAGAGCTCACAGCACCCTCTACCCACGTACAGTTTTGTTTGTCCTCTTCACTCTTGTAGGAATAAAGTTTCTCCATCAGATGGTTAGGCAGCAATCTGTGAAGGCTGGACAGAGTCTCGAAGGTGTGACACAGAACCTCGGGCTGCGCGTAGTTTTTCGGGGTCTTGGGTTTGTCTAGGAGAGGAAGTTTCAGTGGGAAGTGGTTGTTCTTGGCTGTCCCCATGATGACCCACTGAGTTTGAGACAAGAACAAACAGAAAATTGAAAAGGTGGGACCCCTTGTCGTTGTTCCTTCTCCACACTTTTCTCCATCTCTGAGGAGATGCTATGGAATCCCTTTTCTGGTCTCTGATCGCTTAGCGTTCTGAGAGTCACAATGGCCTGCACCTTGGCCTGGAACCCTGAGTGCTCCTCCTATCTTCAAACCAGAGGAAATCAGCCAGTCAAAAACACCTTGCCACGTCTTACAGGGATTTCAGGCAGAAACTCCGGTTTCCTGTCTGACCATGAGCAATACCTGAGGAAAACAGCGTGCTTTCCCGAAGGGATGAGGGGAGGCCAGGGTGCATGCCTCCAGTGCCGTTTCTCCAGCTGGGGCTCCGCCTGGGCCATGCTGCCTGGGTGTGCCTAATTACGACTCCACAGACAGACGGGCCCTGAGGGAGAGCGCTGACATCAACACAGTTCCCGGGCAGAACTGAGGAACGAGCTCCATCGTCCCAAACTGAGGAAATGTCCAGATTAACACAGGTAAGGAGCCCACCTGCCGCTTATTCTCTTCTCCAAACTGAACAGAGGAAACCAAATGCTCAATTCTAGCTTGACTGGCAGAAGCCATGCTTCACTGTGGACCCTGGACAGAAGTACTAAATCATCTTAAGCTCCCACACTCGATGGCACAGCCCAGAGCAAGACAGAAGGTGCCACGGGCTCCTCCCAGATTTGGGGCAAACATGCAAATACTAAGGGTGGTTCTAGCTACTACTTGATCTCAGCACGCTCCACCCAGGGGGCCGGGTTCACTGTCATTGCTCTGTCCCATGAACTGGCTGGGAATTGCAAAGTGATCAGAAACGGGGAAAGCCATGGGGGTCAGGCATGCAGAGGGCAAGAGCTGGGAGAGTTGGCCAGCTTTTTACCAAACGTAAAACCCCTTGGCCAAGACTGTAAAAACTCTAGGATTATATCGTAGGATATGTTAATGCCCAGAGCAGAAGATACCAACTTTCACTTCTTAACGTTCGGGTTCATTTTCCATTTGCAAACTTAAAAATTAAGACTTTTAAACATACACAAAAAGGTGTATTTTAAATATACTTAAAATATGTTATAGAATCAGAACCGCTTGAATGGAATGTGATTCTCATGATCTCATGGGTGTTTTTGGGAAGAGAAGGGAACGGGTGGAAGTGAGGAGGGGTAGAATATTTTGATAGATGGAGACTTCTTTCTTCGAAGCAAACTTGAGTGTATTACTCTAAGTATTTATAAACCGAAAAGAACAGACCATGTTTTAAGCCATTCAACAGGCCAAAGAAGTGATATATTAAAATTGATTCTTTATACTGCATGTAAATTTATATATATGTATTTATATATAAACTGATATATCAATATAAAGTAATTGATACACATATATAATGCTATTATACATAATGCTATATATAAATTTATATATCAATATAAATTAATCGATGAAAATGTATTTATATAATGCGATGTCAATACCATTGACTGTATTCCCTATACTGTACCCTTCATCCCCATCATATGTTCTTAATCATGGCTTTACATAGCAACTGATGGAGTGTTTCTAGCTATCTGGTTTAATGACTGAAATCAGAAGTAGGCCATAATTATGATATTTTATTTTTAAGTAAACTATCTGATGGACACATGTCTTTTGCAACGGATAAGACATCTCCTTCGGTTTTCTGTAATTGTGCCGCAGTGGAGAGAAGACTGTTCGGGACCCCAGTTCTCCCCTGCTGCTAACTAGTTCTGTAATTTTAACCCCAGCCAGCCAGGTCTCAGCCTACAGAAGGAATGTGCTCTGATGAAACAGACCCTTCTATTTTGTAACTTGTTTGGATTTTGGCTTATTTCCAATGCCATTCTTCCATGATCGATACATTTCCATTTCCACAGCCACAGTGGTACCATATAATTATTTTCTCAAAGAAAAGATGAGAGAGAATTCTCCTAAGCCAGTCCCTCCCTTTCTATGGCGACCGCGAGTTGCTAGGAAGGGCCAGCCGCGCCGCTCAGGTAGAGCAACAGTTGTGTTATTAACTAAATTGATCCCACAGCATATCACCTGCAGGACACGGGGTTGTTTTTCGAGTTAGGCTGATCTCTTATTCATGACTTTTAGGTAAACGGCAATTCCTTTTTTTGTTCCAAAGAGGGCTGTTGTGTCTCCTGAACACCTTCCCCTTCCCCTCTGCCACGGCGGATGTGACAAGATCAGCTGGCTTCCAGAAGGCAAAGTGTTCAGTAATGTCCAAAGGGAAAAGATCATCTCCAAGTTTCTTAAAGAAAGCGTTCTAAAGAGAGTGTTCCGATCAAAGCAGATGAGGTGGGAGGGTTCCAGCCGCCAGAAGGAGGACCCAGGCTACACCTTTCCTGGCACCAGAAAGTAAGTCCTGACCCTGAAACTTAAAGCTTCCAAGTGTATTGGTGATGTAAGGCTAAGAAAACACGACTGCAAAGCATAGACATGTCTGAAGGACAGAAGCCATAAAGCTATTCCAACAGCAGGCATCAAGTCCTGCAGAAAAATCTAAAATAGAGCTGGACATATACAATGGAGAATTTATTCGAAAGTCCTGGCTGCAAATTCTGCAGGGGTAGAATTTGCCTGTGGGTCTGTTTGTCTTTTGGAAAGATGTTCCTGGCAGCTCTATCACATTCATTCTATGAATAAATAGATTTTAAACAAGATTCGTTACACTTTTGCAACAAAATGGTGGTCTCCCAGACAAGGAAGCAAAGTGTTCAAGGTGAATTTTTAAGAGAGAAAAACAACACCTAACTAAAAAAATATTTTTATACGTATTTCCTATAAAGGAATTGTACACACCCAAGAAAGTTAGGACATTTCAGGTAAATGCTCACAGAAATGGAGTCCTCAGTCGGGGATAAATCTGATTGTCTATGAGTGAAAGAGAAAGCAGAAGCTGGAAACAGGGGAAGCACAGGACTGGTTACTTAACCACACACGAAATACAAGTCGCCCAGCATTGAACTGCAGTGATTCCCACTGCATAGCCTCATATGTACCTGAGAACAAAAATGCGTGTCATTAATCAGAAAATATGGTCTTGACTTCCTAAAAACATTTACATAATTACACCGAACAAGATTCCATGGCAGTAAATAGCCAGCCGTGACACTGACAATGCAGCAGGGGCAAATAAAGGGAGGTGAAGGCAAACATGCGGGTTACCTAAAAATACGAAAGGTTTTGAAAGAGGTGGACTGAAGAGGAAGGATTTCCCCACAGGATAATTAGAGGCTAAGTAGTGTCGTCACTGACATTTCTTTGCCTCACCCTGGGCTACAAAAAGGAATGTCTTATCAAAGTGCTTTCTGAAAGAGTCTTCTTTGGGCCCAAACTGTCACCTCTCTCAGAGTAGGGGAAACTGAGGTGAGCAGCAACGCATGCTTACCGACCAAGGGATGGGCCCAAGGCTTCCCTTCTTTCCACCAATTCAGACCACCTCCATATTCATGAATGTAAGAGCTTGTACAGTGCCACGAGACAGAACATCACCTCATCTTTCCTCACTGGGTTAGCTAAAGAGGTACAGTTTTAAAGTAAGGCAAGCCTTGATGCTACCTCTAAGAGCTGAATTCCCAGAGGGGTCTTAGGGAGGCCTCAAAGGAAGGTGTGTTCTGTTGGGCTAAGGACTGATGTTAGAGCTGCCCCCGATCTGGAGACCAGTCCACTGTCTAATGACTTCCTTCAAGGCTGGATGACAGCCAACCCAGACTCAAAGTCTCGGAGTGGGTATGATTCTTGTTGTCGTTGCCCTTATATTTCCCATGACCACAGTGTCTCACGCTTACTTTCCCTCTTTCTCAGCCATCTCTCCTCACCACCCTGACTGCGTGCTCTCCTGTAGGACTCTCTACAGGGACGAGGCTGTCACTATCGTTTTAAAATTTTATGATTTTTATGCTGACGTCAAAGCATTCAAAAAGTCTCCGGAGAAAGGAAGCAGAGTCGAATTGATAAAGGTTTTTAGGAATATGTTCTGTCAAGAAAAAAAAAGAGAGAGAGAGAGAGAGAGAGAGACTTAGAGGATGTATTTACGGATGACGAATCTCAGAGGGACTTTAAGGGATCAGTTCATGTTCTGAAACCAAAGGAAAATGCAGAAACCAACATAAAACAAGGACGGTGGGAGGTGTGGAAGTTAAATAAATGACATGCGTGCACGAATACAGATATGCACACATCGCTTTCATCTCCTGTCTGGAGAACAGAAAAAAAATCTTTTTCCCAGCTAGATTTATTTGTAGAATGTGTTAGCTGGGAGTACATGGACCCCAATATTTACCCAATTCAAGTAACTGTAATTTGGGAAAAACAGTATCTTGAAGGCTCAGGTTGCTCATTTGTAAAATAGGAATAACTAGTGGGACCAATTTCATTGTGTTGTTAAAAGTATAATATTGGTTAATCTACATAAAATGTTCAGCATTATGCCTGCCCCATGGTAACCAAATTTTATTTCTTGCAAATGTTATTTTTTGGAGTAATTAAATTAATTCCAACATTTATTGAGTACCTACTATATGCCAGGTACCAGGCCAGATAGAATAAGGCCAGGTCTTGCCTTTAAGGCGTTGGAAAAGATAGCGAGTGAGATATTGTAAATGAATAATTATAATGTAACTGTGAGAAGGGAATTGTAAGCAAATAAATCATAATAATGTGAATGAAGGGTCTTGGAAGAGGTAGCAATTTATTCTTCCCTGAGGGATTAGGGAAGATGATTTGTGAACTAGATTTATATGGATAGGACTTAACTAGGTGGGTAAAAGGAGGGAGGAGGGAAAAAAGAAGGAGCTATTATTGGGGGGGGTGTATGTCCTGGAGGAGATAGAGTGTTTAGAAAAAATGCAAAATATCTGAGGTGTTTGTATATATGTAGGCACTGGAAGTGATAAGCAGACACTAAAGCCTGGCTTATTCTTTGGGATTTAGGAGGGCATTAGAGCAGATCAGTGCTTTTTATCAGCAGAATGGAAAATAGTCTGGAGAAGAGAGCACCTAGGAGGGAGGTCTCCAAAGAGGCCTATGCTAATCTTATATTCATTCTCCTATATTTACTTAGCTCCTACTATGTGCCTAGCACAGTTTTTAAAAAAGACTTTATGTATTTGTCAGAGAGAGAACAAGTAGAGAGAGCTGCAGGCAGAGGGAAAAGCAGACTCCCCACTGAACAGGGAGTGAAATGCAGGACTCCATCCCAAGACCCTGGGATCATGACCTGAGCAGAAGGCAGACACTTAACTGACTGAGCCACCAGGCATCCCACGCCTAGCAAAGTTTTAAAGTGACGGGGTGTATCAATGAACTAGACAGGCAAGGCCTCTGCCATCATAGTTTTATACTCTATTGGGAAGATACAGGCAATAGAAAACCACAAATGATTAACAAGACTGTGAAGAGTACAGAGAAAAAATTAGAACAGTCTGTTACGAATTAGAGTCATGTGGATGGGAAGGTGTCTTTGAAGTTGGGTCAGAGCTGGCCTTACTAAAGGAAAACAGATGTGCAGAAGAAGGAGACGGACCCCTCTGGGTAGGAGGTAGAGGAGGGAGATCCAAGAGCTGACAAACCCTTGAAATTATGTTGGACATTTGGTTTTCTATGTGCATTTTTCTGGGAAGACTCTCAGAAGAGCATGGCATCGCTTCCCCCCAAATGTTAAGAACCAGTGCATTTAGATGCATAATGAAGCATTTTGGGGCTTGAATCCACAGTTGGGTGGGTGTTCAACCCAACAGAATGCAATAGTATCATCAGCAAAGGATTGCAAAAATGTTTTCCTCAAATGTCAGTGCCTCATTATAAAAAATATATCTGACATTCTTAGTAAACATTTTAGTAAACATTTCGTTTACTTACTTACACCCACATATCAATCATAAATATGTAAGTATTCACATATATATATATATATACTTACGTTATATACATATGTACAAAATAATGTGTATATATCCATATTATATTCGTGTATATATCCATAATATATCCATATATATGATATTCACATATATATCCATATATATCTATAATATATCCATTTATATATGTGTGTGAGTATATATATATATAAACATTCCTCCCTCTGCCACCCCACACACTTATTTCAGTGAACTGAAGTAAGAGATAGGCATTTCGAGGGCAAAATTGGCCTTGTATCATCTACATGTAAACCAGGTAGAAAAAAAAAATCAGCTTTTGTTCTTTCTGTTGTAAGACCAACGACTGATCGGGAACGACCAGCGGTGGGCTTGCTCTTAGCTGGGATACCTTCCTTCTTCCAACTTCATTATTTAAAAATCATATACTATAAGCCCAGACAGGACCGTACATTACCGGTGCAAATACATAGAGCGAGCTTGGTCTAACGCACTACACCCCGGAGCTGCTGGCTTTATTCGAACCGGCGCCAGGGACCCACCGGGCGCCACGCAGAGCTCTCAGGTCAGGGTCAGGTCAGGGCCTGAGAAGGCCTGGGAAGGCCTCGGCGGCCGTGACCTCCGCCCGTGCGCAGCCCGAGGGCGGCCCCTCCACGCGCGATGGCCGAGCGGGCCGGGCTGCCGCTGGGGAGGCGCGGAGGGGCGCAGGGGCCCGGGCTCCGGCTCGGCGCCCTCCCCCGGTGGCGCCGCCCGTGCCGCGGGCCTGGCGGCCTGGTGACCCCCGAATACCGGTGGCCCCGGTGGAACGCAGAGCCGTCGGGGGCGCCCGCGCTCCATGGTAGTTTCCGGGCGACCCGGCCGCGGGGGAGGCCCGCGGAGCCGCCGCCCTGGCCCAGGCTGGCCTCGCTGGGCCCGGCCCGGGTCCCGGCGGTCCGCAGGCCGTCCAGCGCCGAGGGGGCCGTGCTCCCGGCCGGCCGCCGCCCGCTGCCCTCCCTGTCCTCCCGCCGCAGGAAGGCCGAGTCCGAGGGGGCGCCCGTCAAGCCGTTCGCCCCGCACACGGAGGTGCCCGGGCCTCGGGGCGGCAGCGCCCTCGGAGACGACGCCGAGGACGACACGTGGGCCTGCGGCGCGGTGGGGTAAGAGGCCGGGTCCGGGGCGCGCCCGCGAGCCCCACCTGCTGCCCCCTGCTCCGCTCTCGCGGCCCGGCCTGGGGGAGGCGGGGGGTGGGTTGGTACGAGAGGGAGGGGTTGCTCGCCCGCGGGCTTTGGGCCGCCCACCTGCACCTCCCTGCCCTCCTGCCCCAAGGCTCCTTTCCTGATCACGAAGGCCCCGTGTCCTCGGGCCCCGCCTCCAGACGCCTGGCGCCCTCCTCCGTGGCACACACGTGGGTGTCCCCACGTAGCGCCACCTGTTCAGCCAACTCCCTCCTCTTCATTGTCGCATCCCAGGGCCTAGCATGGAGCAGGGGGAGCAATACTTACTGTATTCTCTGTTTCTTCAGGATACACCTTTCCCTCTAGGAGACAATAAATTGTAAACAATTCGCAAATACACTGATTACTGCGGTGCCTTTAATTTGTGATTCTTTCCGGATAGTCCTACCTTAACCCAGTGGTTGTTCTACCTGTTATCTGGTAGTTCTCGGATCCTTCTACCTTAAACAGTAGTGGGCTTACATGCCGCGGTAGTGGGGCTTGGAGAGTGGTGCTTGGCCCTGTGGGCCTCTTAGTGACCCCGATACCCACACGGGGTGCCTGTCCTGCCTGTAAGGTTAATCCTGCTTTCAAACGTAGCACCTGTTTTGAATAATTAAAAACAGAGTTCATGGCCCTGCTTTATAAGTTCCAGATAATTCATCATGTTCTTTATAATTTGTATTTTATCTTTCTGTCTGATAATGTCTCTGTTCTCACCTAAGACCTTAATTTCCTGATCTTCCATCAGTTAGATCTTACAATTTGCTTTTCTTGGTGCCTTTTTTCTTCTTCTTCTTTCTTTCTTTTTCTTTTCTCTCTCTCTTTTTTTTTTTTTTTTTTTGGACTGGCTTGCCCCTTGTTTCTGGCTGATTTCGTACTGTTAGCCCTCCTGCACCCTCATAGTCCCGTTCTGCACTTGAAGCATTGTTGGACCTCCTTTAGACTGGAACCAAAGCTCAAGGTTTTAAAACAAGCGTTGTGTACCTTACCCATAAATGTGCCTGTCCCACAACCTGTATAGGATTTTAAGGAAACAGAGGAGCAAAATGGGGAGAAGAAATGGTGAGAACAGTGGTACCAACCCGTGTGCAACCAACATCTCCCATGAGGTAAGGCTAATGGTGTTAACCTGAGCATTTGGGCCCTTCCCCTGCTCAAGACCTCACTCCCACTGAATCTGACTGCCTACATCCCTGCAGCTTTCTCTCTCTGTGAGCATTTTGCACTGAGTTGTCCTCTTGGCACTTTTTGGAATATCAAATGGGATTTTTTTTTCTTTCTTTTAATAAAGGAAAAATTAACCAGCTTCTCTCCGAATTTCAAAACGGTTCTTATTGCACTGGTTTTCCTGAAAGATGCTACCTTGCTTCCTCAGGCTGTGCTCACCTTTTTTTATTCTCTCATAGGTATTCTGTAAGAAATGTTGGTAAGGCAGGGGGGATGTCAGAAAGCGTTATCAATTCCCAACCTGTAAGAAGTTTGCAATCCAGCAGACCTCGTGTGTAGTTGATAGCCTCCCTTACCAGTTGACAGATTGGGTTATATTTATCTTATTATATGATCTGATAAAAACTGATTATATATCTGCAGTTTTTATCAGCTTCCCTTTCCTTGTCACTGTAAGGGTATTTCTGCCACATGTTATTTTGTACATTAGTGAACCAGAATCAGAGAGCTGAAAGAAGTCTAATAATCTGTCAGGATGCTTTTAAAAAAATAAATAATTGAGACTTACCTTCATCCTACTGAGTCAGACCTTACAGCAATTTTTTTCAAGTAGTATCATTTTTTAATGATGTATTTATTTTAGAGAGAGTGCAAGCGAGGTGAGGGGCAGAGAGAGAGCGAGAGCAAGAGAGAGAGAGAATGAATCTCAAGCAGACTCCCCGCTGCATGCAGAGCCCAACTTGGGTTTGATCCCATGACCCTGAGATCATGACCTGAGCTGAAATCAAGAGTAAGATGCTTAACCAACTGAGCCACCCAGGCACCCCTCAAGTATCATTTTTAAAATGCTCCCCAGATGATTTCCACAGAGACTAGACCTAATTACGTATCATCTTGGGGAACAGGGAATTAATCTCCAAAGATAATCTGCAGCCTACCTTCCAATGTTCAGCTACCTTTCCAGCAGGACATAATTTTCTTGTGGGTCAATTAAATCCTCATATTGTATTTAAGCTGATTCTCCTTGTTCCTGCTTTAGTTTGGGAGTGATACCTAACATTTTATTTGTGTGTTGCTGAATTTAATTTACAAAGGATTTTCTCCATTGAGTTAGAAAACAACTGAGTTTGTTCTTAAAAAATTACTTAAAAAAAAAATAAACTCCTCACCTCTTCACTTTCCCTATTCCGGGATAAATTGTCATAATCCTCTCCTGCACACACCCCACATTTTCCCCCCACAGCATTCAGCACAATGTCTGGAACATAAATACTGGTACATATTAGTACCATTCCCTATTCATTTTTTCGCTTGCTTTTGAATATTTCCTGAGTGTGTTTCAATGTCTGGAATCTAGAATGAGTAGCAGGCTGGTCAGTGTTGAGTACAATTTGAAGATTAGAGAATTTTCTTTGGTGGACGGAAAGGTTTTATACATCTAGTGTTCAGATACAGGAAATTGGGTGAATGTGCCATTGTGTACCAGGGACACACTGAACTAGGTATTTTATTATATTTTTAAAATATAAAATTTTTAAACTTTTAAAAATTTTAAATGAATTTTGAAAACCTGTGTGTCATTATTTTTAACAAAATGAGAATGAAACCATAAATTATTGTAAAAGCCTATCTCCTAATAGGTGTTATCAAGCTGATAATAATTTGAGAAGAGAACGCCGCATGCTTCTCAAAAATACTGGTAGTGTTCTTATATAAAGGAGAATGGGTCACAAAACTTTATGCCTTTCTCGTGTTTTAGCCACAGACATGAAAAATTATGTACTTGAGCTTTTAAAGTGTTCTTAATATTAAGTTTATCCTAAAACAAATATTGTTTTAGAACTTGTCTCATTGGAATTTGGATTCAGAAGTACCTGCTCCTGAAAATAAAAATCTCCCACCTGGAAAGGATAGTGCAGCAGGTGGTAAGAAATCCTAGATGTGTGTATTTATTAATACTGCAAATTTATGTTCATTCATATTTATAATATATGAATAACCACTCATATTAAAGGGGGTTTGTTTTTCATACAACCAGTTTTATGTAACTATTAATTGTCATCTTTTCCATATACATTCTTTCAGGCAAAATTAACAAGGTAAGGATAAATGTTTGGCTTTAAATAATTCACAAAACACTTTTGAAATTATATGTATGTTCATTAAAAAAATTTCTTGAAAAATTTCAATTTCATTTCTGTAGAGTTCTTCAAACAAGTCAAAGCCTTTTCTGTTCTACAGAAAAAGGGCGGCAAACTGGTCATTAAGTTAATATTTTATTATATATTTTTTCAATATAGTAATGTCAGAAATGGAAATTAACATTGTAGTGACTATAGTGTTTCGTAGTCATTGCCAAAAGAAAAGTAGTCTCAGCTCTTAAGATATGATGAGGCAGTTAAAATGATTAATGTTTTGTTTTGAAGTGATAAGGCAATTAATCTTTCATCTACTTTTTTTTGAGCAAAATATAAAACACTTAACGGTTAGTAAAATAAAGATAATCTTAATGATATTCGAGGCTCATTAGTTCACACTGTTGGTATTTGTAACAGATTATGCTGATTCCTGCTGAAGTCAGTAAAAACAAGTGATATCTGCATGTATAAAAAGGAGTATTATATGACCTTACTATATATTTCTTGGTTAGAACAAGAACTATACATTCTTAGAACAATAACAGGGAATAGAGATATATTGTGTTTAAAAGTCTTCTGCTGCTTTATAGAACCATTTGGAAATTCCAATAGAGCAACTGGTGCTAGACCTAAATTTGTCAGAACATGCTCCCAAAAGAACACAGGTGAGATTTATTCATCATACTCAAAGTATTTTTCTTTCAACACGTGCAGTTACTAAAATGTCCATGTTGTTCTGTTATCAGAATAGTAAACAAGGGATATTTCAGTTGTGGAGTTATCCTTTTAACGAAGGAAGTACCATGGAGAACAGGTGAGAGAATATTTATTTCCATAAGCCTCTAAATTAGTGAGATACATTTAAATACGAATAAGTTAACTAGTCCTCCGATAGACAAGGAGAAAAAACAACCGGAAGAAAAAGTATTGTGTGCCACTTGTGGGAAATTATGGAAACTCACCGTAAAATAGGAAGTGGCTGGCATATACCACAGAGATTGCCTGTATATGAAGAATTCAGAGGTCCCTGTGCCCTTATAATGAGAGCTCCCATGGATAGAGTTAGGGCTTCTCATCGAAGGGAAGAGGAACTGTAATAAAAAAATAATAGTCCACAGGGCAGGAATGATTTCTGTCCCTTGTATATCTTAATTCATTTAACTGTCGCAACAACCCTGTAAGGCACTGCTGTCAGCATCCCTATTTTACAGGTGAGGACACTGAGTCAGGGTGATGAGGTACATAACTTGCCCAAAGTCATACAATGAAGGAGTGGTAGAACCAGATTCATGCTCTTGTGTGCTACAGTATATTGCTTCTCACACCTTACCTGGGTTTGAATTCTTATTTTTTGGTTCTTTTTTTTTTTTTTTAAATTTTATTTTTTATAAACATATATTTTTTTTCCCCAGGGGTACAGGTCTGTGATTCGCCAGGTTTACACACTTCACCGCACTCACCATAGCACATACCCTCCCCAATGTCCATAACCCCACCCCCCCAACCCCCCTCCCCCCAGCAGCCCTCAGTTTTTTTTGTGAGATTAAGAGTCACTTATGGTTTATCTCCCTCCCAATCCCATCTTGCTTCATTTACTCTTCTCCTATACCCTTAACCCCCATGTTGCATCTCCTCCCCCTCATATCAGGGAGATCATATGATAGTTGTCTTTCTCCGATTGACTTATTTCGCTAAGCATGATACCCTCTAGTTCCATCCACGTCGTCACAAATGGCAAGATTTCATTTCTTTTGATGGCTGCATAGTATTCCATTGTGTATATATACCACATCTTCTTTATCCATTCGTCTGTTGATGGACATCTAGGTTCTTTCCATAGTTTGGTTATTGTGGACATTGCTGCTATAAACATTCGGGTGCATGTGCCCTTTCGGATTATTTTTTGGTTCTTAAACTTGAGTGGGTGTTGGAACTAGCTGGAGCGTGTCTCACAGACACAGGTCACTAACATGTGGCTATTCCGTTTATTGAACACAGGGTCACTTTAACATACAGTGTGTTGTTTAATGGAGAGCCCAAGTTCTGGATCAGAATTAGAATTAGTTCCTCAGTTTTGTCCCTGCTTTTGAGGAGCAGTCTCCCAGAGGACTTTCCTTCCGGGAGGCTCAGGACAAAACTTAGCGTCATGCTGAAATTCGAGGTGTGAATCCAAGAAGTGCTAAAGGGACCGCAGTGACTCATATCCTAAGGGAACGTCAGTGTGAGGGGCATAGGAAAGGCTACTTTGACTAGAACGAACTCTGCTGGGAACAGGGTTTCAAGGTCAGAGGTCAAATGAAACGAATTGAATGTTATCCTGCTAACACACAGCGAACGTAAACGGAGTCAGTGGAGGGCAGTGGCTAGGATTACCAGCATGGGGCACCGCCACTCGGGTTTAAATCCCACCTCCACCCCTTACCACACTGTGCCTCAGTTCCCTTCCCCATAAAAGAAAATAAAAGTGCTTATCTTGTGGGGTTGTTGTGAGGACTAAACAGAATCCGGTGTTTGTTAGGTATTTGTTATTAATCCTGGGGAAGCCTGAGTATGTTGTTGAGTTGGAAGTCCTGTATCAGTGAAATATTCCATTACCAAAATGTTTCTCCTCAGTATGCCATCAATAATAAAATACCTTTTATTTAGCATTTAACGTTTTTGCAAAGTATGTTCATGTAATTGTTTTGCTTCTCAGACCACCCCAAGTTTGGTACTATCATTACCTCTGGTGGCAAAGGGTTTCACACCTAGGTCCTCACCCCCAGATTCCATGCTCTTTTCACTAAACCACATGGATCCTGTCTCTTCTCAATTATAGATTTAAAGTGACTTTTCTGTTGCTTTACAAAGGCACGTGAGTTTAACTAATATTTACCTGAATCAATAATTTTTTAGTATTTTCTATAGAAATAAAAGTGTTTTTCAAAATAGCTCAAGAATACTTTGCTGTCTTTATTGTAAACTGGCATTAAAGAAAGCGAGAAGAGAGTGAGACTATATATGTCAATTAATGCTTCAGCTCTTCCAATGTCGGTATTTCTAATAAGCTTTAAAAAAAAGAACTTTAAACTCAATATTCTATGGCATCTCTCTTTCGCAGTTTCATTCTAATAAACTACCTAGAAGCATTACTCATAAAAGAGTACCATCTAATGAAAATTACTATGGGATAATTTTTTAATTGTGTAGTTAGTTTCTTTTTTCTCTCTTTCTCTCTCTTCCTCTCTTTCTCCCTCCTTTTCCTCCTCCCTCCCTCCCTCCCTCCCTCCCTTCCTCCCTCTCTCCCTTCCATTCTTCCTACCTTCATTCCTTTTTCTACTAAGGCATAATTTTTGGTAAACATTGTTTTGCTTCCTTTTATGTTAGCATAATTTTTTAAAACCACAGTGGCTAAAGTAGACTTTATTGAGTAACTTAATTACATTCTTTGAGTTTCCTTTCATCTAATCCCAGGTCCCTGAACGTTTCACTATAATTTCAGTTTGAGTTGGAGAGCCCCGTTTTCAGACATCATCACTGCATGTACAGTATATTCATAGGCAAATAGATATAATTACCATTTTTAACCTAGTGGGCATTCATACAAGCAGCTAGCCATTTGTGGGTAGAATGATCTAGTCACCTGGACATGTACAGAGGGTTGTCTAGTTAATATTCTGATCTATACTTTAAAAAATGTATGCAGTTTTATATAATTGAGCATATTTGGAAATGAATATATCTCTCTTACAGATAGATACATATAGGCCATTAGAAACCAAACATTACCCAGTCTTTGATGATTTTGCTTATTGATTATCATTTTAACAGCATTTTAATTCTAGTCAACAAACCATTCACTATTTAAATCATTTTTTAAAGGGATTTTAAGAAGTCTGCTGTGGAACCTGGCTTTAACGTAACCAATAACCCCATGAGGCTCTTCACACTGAACCACTCACTGACAACTGCTTCAGTTGATAAGCAAGTTGGTTCTTACCCTGGCCTACAGGTGCCATCGGGCCTCTGCTGGCCCTATGCTGATGGAGACTTTTTAAAGGACAGAAATGAGCCTTATATTAATTTATGTTCAGCTATGGAAAACAATAATGGTGAAACTTTATCTGCCCCAAATTGGAATTTGAAATACGGAAACAGCAGTATGGAGGAAAACTTAACAGATGAAAGTGATTTATCAGAAAGTGAAAAAGCAAATGATAGTTTGCTCAGCTATTTTAAAAAGATGGATCTGAACTTAAAGCCAGAAACAATAGAAAACGTTGAGGAATCTTTCACAGAGGAACCAAGTGAAGTATTTCCATATCCTGATTTTCTCCCTTCTCCTTTCAATAGTCTGGACTTGCACAAATTAGCCCTCTCAAAATCTGAAAATTGGAAAGCGACAGTGGAACCTCCAGAAAGCTCTATTGAACGTTTGATAACCCGTTTACTGGAAATGGAAAGATTACAACACACGACTATACAAAAAGAAAGGCCCAGACTACAAACTACCTTCTGTGCTCCAGCAGCTACTGAACGACCCTTTTCCTCCAAAGCTATCCCCAAAATGAGACAGCCAAAACTTTCGGAATCTTTGAGTCTTCAGACAACTTGTGTAGATAAAAGTCGCGAAAAAAGAAAAAGCAGTTCTGGGTCTTGCAAACTTGAACAAAATGCTTCAAAATGGAATTGGAGCAATGCTGGCAACATACACAAATGGACTTCTAGACCACCACCTCTAAAAAGTTCATCCACCACCAAACAGTTGATTGCAACTTGTGATGACATTAGGAATCTCAAAAGCTCCATTTTAAACCCATGCCAAGAACTCTCAGCCAAGCCCACTAGTTCCCAAACAACTCAATCGTTGGTTAAAATGGTCTCAACAAGATGTCTGCCACCAAGGTCTCCAATACCACTTTCGCCTATACCTCTGTCTTTTCCCGAAAATCAGAGAGAAGACAATAAGGCACCAAGGACCAAAAAGAAACCTTATCAGAAAAACATAGAATTGAACAAACCATTCTATATTCAGAAGTTAAACTGTTTATCGCCTTCCTTTGTAGGTAAGGACAAGTGTTCACCCATTGATCAAAAGTAACTTTTCTCTCCTATATCTCAATATGAGCAAATCTATTGCCAAGAAACTTGGCTAAAATATGGTTCATCATGCCGAGATACAGGTATTACACACGTGAAGAACTTGCTGTGCTGTGGAGTGGAACTTGTGAAAAGCTGAGGTGTCTATATATAAATCCAAGAGCTTCCATCCTGACATATTTGACAATCTTTTGCATGTCATGTTTCAAAGGAATGTTTGCCTTAGTAAACTATTCAAAAGATTATTCTTTTGTTGTGTTTCCCAGTAGAATTCCATCATCAGTAAATGCTGTAATCGACTGGTTGCTGGTGTATTTCATTTTCTATTATAGCTTTAAGAGTAAATTACCTCTTAGCGAATTTATTTTTTTAGTTCTTCCCACTCTGATACCTTTTTTTCCTCTCCTTTACTATCTCTAAAAATCTCCTTTGTCTATCATCTTGACCTATCTTTTGGTATTTGCTTGGCCATTAAAAGCTAAACTACTTGTGATTTTGTTGAATTAATATTCAAGGTCCTCTAGATCCTCCAGTGTATCTTAAAAAATGTTCCTTTCCCAGGTCTTCTGCCACATACATGAAAGCGAAATCCGTTATCTTGGGGCCAAATGATGTTGTAGGCATGAAACAAACCTTCTGGAATGTCAAAGGAAAAATGAGAAAAGGTTGATGTACACAGAGCAGCCGAAATGTCACGTTAATGGAACTTTTCCCAAAATTCTTTGTTCTTGCAAGTCTTAACTGCCCCACCCCCTGTTGAAACGCAAGCAGGGAAAGCAACTTAACTTGTTCAAAAGAAAAGTGTGTGGGTGTAGGGGAGACCATGCGACTGACACACCTTACTGCACCTAATCAGGGAAACAAAAAAAATTGAGTCTGGGGTTCTCTCACAGCCCCAAGGATGTGGAATCCAGGAGTGGGGCTGGGGGACCTGCACTGTAAACAAACATCCCAGGTGATTTTAATGCAGGTGGTTCTTGGATCACACTTCAAAAAACATCTTAAAGGAAAAAGTTGATGTAAAATGGATGTTTGGGGGTGGGTGTAGTGTGCTTTGGTTTCAGTGGATGTTTGGTGAATTCGAATGAGTTTGTTTTGTGAGGAAAGAAATAGTTTTATTAACTGAGACAGAGAAAGCTCTCAGGAGTGAGAGGGGTCCCATTAGGGTTGCCCTCAAATGAGTTTTTGGTAAACATTAAAAATAACACGATGAAAACTTCAAGCATTGCCCAAAGGAAAATGAGAAGTAAAAAGTTCTCCCTACTCCCAGCCCACTGCCAAGGCATGGTCAATATTGTGTATCATCTTTGCTGCACCGCACCCCCCCCCAAAAAAAAAGCAAGATGAAATATTCAAGATTGGGATAGGGGAGATGAACTAAAAGACACTTCAAATACATGTTGAAGAAAGCGACTGTGGTTTCACTTTCCTCTATTCTATTTTTAGTAAAAGAATAAGGTTCAAAGAATTTTCTTAGAAGCAGAGGTCAAAGAGAGTAGGTTTAGTTTTTAGATTAATTTCAAAGAACTTTCTAGAACTGTATCAATACGACAATAGAAAAATAAACTGTTCAGGATAACTTACCATAGAACAGTATTTTACCTAAATCCCATACAGTTGGTGTCATTATCCCAAGTGGTAGAACATCCCTTTCCCAGAACAGCATGTAAAAATGGACTCGTGCTTTCACACCAACCCAGCTTCCCCACTCAACCACCTTTCCTTTCATTCTTACAGTTCTAACTTGAGTCCCGAGGCTTAATTGGCAGCCTTCGTACCCATTCTCATTTTTACCTTCTTTACCCTGCTTGGATCTTATCCCTTCACTTTTAGGGTCATAATGATGTTAATTTTTATCTGTAAAAGCTTCTGGAAGGGGACATCCCTGTTCTGTTCACCACTCTATCCCAGTCATTGCCTGGTATGTAGATACCCTGGGTTAGGTAAAGGACTCTGCCCAGCCTCGAGGACAGTCATGTGAGAGCAGTCACAAGGGCCTTCTCCACAGCCAGGCTCTGCCACGTGACAGATCTGCACCTCAGGCAAGTTCCTTAACCTCAGTTCTTCACTTTCCTGATGTGTCAGGTAGGTAGCGGATCTTTTAGTGCATATAATCATGTGAGGATTGAATCAAGTGCCTGGCAAATTAAAAAGCAGATCAGAGGAAAGACAAATGACACAGGAGGGCAGACTGGATGAAATGGGCCGCCTCAGGACTAAATTAACTGTCACTGGAGTAACAACTCAGATTATTCACGTCCTGCTTCTTACATGACATGTGTCCACCATCAGGAATATGCTGTGGAGTGAAGACACAAGCCCTTGTTTCCAGGAAGACCAAGAGCTGGAGTGGACATGGGAGACAGGAAACAGGAGGTAGGGAGGAGTACTTCAGAGGTAGGGGTAATGGAAGATCACTGTGTCCGCAGTTCCAAGAACTAGATTTCTGCACTGAAGGATTGCTTTGGTGGGGTCGGAGGCTTTGATGTCTTAGAGACAGGCAGGGCAAATCTTACTGGAAACCGAGCTACTTTATTTAGGATGCCATTAGACCTAAAAAAGGAGCTAGTTACTGAAACACATCAGAGTTTCCTATTAGACCCAAATTGTTTTAAATTTAACGATGTAAAAAATGCATTAGCAGCAATGCTGATTTCAATTATAAGGCACAGGTACTTATTTTAATATGATTAGTAAAAATAGTGGAATTTTTTAAGCGGAGTCCCTAAAATGAGGTCAGAAAAGGCACATACACGAGAGTAGATGTAGCCATCCTAAATTCATCTTGTCAAATGATGGGAGTAAAACAGGCAATATTTGGCTAAGAGAAGAACTTACCATTGGGGGTTGGGAGTACTGTAGTTACCAACAAACTTGGAAGACTTAGCAATTTTTCAAACCTGTTGGAAGCCAACTTCCACCACTATTTTTGAAGAAACACTTGGCATCTTCTAACAGACACCTATAAATTAAAGTGATTCTTGTTTAGGAAACTTCAGTTGAATTTGGCTTTCTGGCTTGCTTAAAAATTCCCCATACTTTGGCTGTCCAGTACTGACACCTTTTCTTGGCTCCTTTTCGGATCTTACCTGAGGCAGATTCTTTTCTCATCAATGAAAGCACAGGGAGAAAAGTCTCTTCAAAGTTTGCCATAACCCCCCACCACCAGCCCCCACCAAACCCAATGCACCCTGCATACTACCTTCCCTAATAAAAAGCAGGATCTCATGATCCTTGTCAGTTGCTTTAGACAGAATATGTAGTTCTTCATCCTCTGCCAGCCCAAGCAGAACACTACAGCTGGGGCCTTTGCAAGGCGGCTGTCCAGAGCCACTGCCACTCTGGCCCATTTCTTAGAAAAACTAGGACTCGACCACTAGGTAGAGAAGATGGCACCTGCTAGATGGGAGTACCCAACACAGCCAGACACTCTGGCCCTGCCTCCTCCAGTCCTGCTTTATGTTGAAGATTCGACTCCCTGTCCCTCTTTTAGGTATTTTACAGTTTTTTGTTTTAAGCTGAGGACATTTCTTTAGAAGAAGATGAGAAGTGGATAGACTAAGGATATGGTCCACATTTGTCAGGCTTCCCCATGTACAATGAACCAACTGATTTAAATCATTACAGAAAAGGGAGTTACCTCCTTATGCTGTTTCTATTTGGCATGTGTTCTGCACTTAGCTGCTAGAAGTATTTTGATGTTTGTAAGGAAGATACTAAATTGGATGTTTCCATGCAGCAGGTTCTGCCAAGTGGTTTGGTAAACTTCTCTCTACACCGTTCTCCTTCACTGAGGTTCACAATGCATTATCAGATATCTACTGAGAAGTTTTAACATAAATATTTAAATTTAATCTGACAGTTGCTAATCATTTTTGGGCAGAGAATACCTTTCAAAGCACATCTATGAACACCAGTGAAATAGAATATCAGAAACCTTAAGAGAGGGAATGCTGTTTTAATTTAAAACTAAACGTAAAATAGCAAACCCCAGCAAAGGAAAAATCAGGAAACAGTATGGTAACAAGAGGCATATTTTATTAAGTTTTCCAATAATGGAAACATGGCTGCTAAAATGCAAGTTACAATTCACATGATACCACAGTAACTGGGATACATATTATTTTCAGAGACCAGCTTCCATATCTTGATCATTAAACGGAAAGATTCTTCAGAAGAACAGTCCCTTACCCTACATACAGAAGGAGAAAAAAAAAAATTAAAGATGCCATGATGATATCTATCAAGTAACTGGAAAACATTTTTAAAGTCAATTTAGTGTACATTATTGACATGTAAAAAAAACACAAATGAATTTGTAGTGAACATTTCCATAAGAAAGACATCCCATCTAGGAGGATGATAAAACTCATGTTGAATATATGCTTGAACTAGGGTATGAAAAGGAAAGAAACACTTTTTATGAAGCCCAATTTCCAATGATGTCATCATAATTAATGAAAGGAAATTACTTATTTGAGTATCCATTTCTTTCCTACCTCCAACATTTAAAAGGGCATTCTTTAACTATTTGGCTTAAATTTGAAGATATTTGATTCCCCTGTTTCATTCCAGAGATCTTATTTCTACGTAACCAGCTAGCATTACAAAATGATGACAAAGAACAAGTAGAGCATAGTAGGAGGCATGCAAATATCAAATAGATCTGAGAATATTACATTTCTCTGCCTCTACCACATACCACAAAACATACATTTTTTGTATTGTAGAAATGTCCTGAGTATGTGTTTTGGAGAAAAAAAAGGTGGTTACTATAATGAAAAAAAAAATTAGAGTATCTTAAAAAACTTATTTTGAAAGTAGTAGAGTGGAATGAGTTCTACATTGGGGAATAATAAGGATGCAACTAATAAGGACTAAGAGGTGAACAGGAATACTGGGAAGGTCTTTAAAATTTATGACAAGATACTCCCTTGCTTCAAAACCTCGATGCTCCCACCAGATGTCTGATACCTTTGAGAAGGTGGTCCATATAGAGAACGGGGACTATAGAATATCTGGTTTCTGGATCTCACTTACCCCCTGACTACAGAAAGAACTATGACCTTTTCAAGGATTATGTCCTAAGACTTTGCAACCCTGACGTCTGACAACCATGTGATATTTTGCTGTGAGGTCTAAAAAAACCCAAATGCTTTATCAGAGATTAACTTATTTAAAAACTATATAGCTACTTTGAAACATGAATGCAGGCTAAAGATAATTCACTAAATTATGACCACCATCTAATAGAGGTCTTACAAAGTTCCAAATCTCTGCCTCAGCAAAATTACTAATTCTAATAAAATCATGTATATGTATATGAAGAATGTTTGCAGGGTTCCTTTAGAGTAGACAAACCTAGGAATGCTAAATTTGGGAACAAAGATCTACTTCTCTCACTTAATTAGAAAAACTGACAGTGTTTCTAAATATTTTATCTATCTTAAGACCATGACTGAAGTACTTGCAGAAAGAGTTACTAAAAGAGAAAGTCAGGGAATAGAGTATTAAAGGAGTTGGGCAACAGCGTTCTTAACTTTCTATTCTTTTGCATCTGCCAAGAAGAAACCTAAAGCTAAAAACTACTTTTTGATGTATGTGATTGTGGTGGTTTCTATTTTTCTAATAACCCCTAGGAACCAATTTTGATGGCCATGTATTATGTGGAATCTCACCATTCAAGAGCCTTTCATAATATTACTACATTTGACCACTGTTTTTATTGGGAGGGAGGGAGGGAAGCAGAAATTATGATAAAACAAGCACTTTACAGATGAACACCACAATAGCACTACTACTCTAAGTGCCAAACATTAATGAAACCCAAATCATAATGCTGAAAACTAAAAAAATTAGACAAAAATTAAATGGAGAATTCCTTTTTTTCTTTCTTTCTTTTTTTTTTTTTTTAAATCTTTTATAGGACAGAAACCTTAGCTCATGTCTTCTGGCTGTCATCATCTTCCACTGAACTGCACCTAAAACACAAAGAACAAGTAACAAGCAACTTTGTTTTTTAAGGAATAGGTAATAGTTTTGAAGGCATAAGATGAACTGTTTCTAGTGGAAGTTAACTTACTTATTAAATAATTATATAAAATGAAGCCATGAAAATCACCAGAAGCATCAAAATGTCTACTACTTTTGAGTGAAAATAACTACAAAAGACTTGAATATGCAGCATATTATCACCAAAATAAAGTAAGTCATGGTGGGAAAATCACTACCCATTTTGGTAAGGTAGACAAGCTGCACCCGTGAGGCCTTATTTAAAAGGCTTCACTCTACCTGAAGATGGAAACCACCTTTTATTTATTTTTAGTAAGTCTAAACCATGAAGAGACGGGGTGTAGATTCAAAGTTGGCTTATTATATCATCTATCACCTTCCTGGCTGTAGTTCATGTCTTTAAATGGAGCAAAACCCACCAGAAGAATGCTGCTATTCTGATTTTCCATTCTTGAATGCACCAAAATGTGCATGCTTGTTGTAATTAGGTGCCTGGGTGAATAAAAAAATCCCATTTACAATTTAAAAATATTATTTAAACCCCCAAAATCTGGTTATTTTCCACAATGCTCAGGAAGACAAGCATTAATTTTACCACCCAAACAGAAAAGATGTACATACATTTCTGAAAATTCTCTCCTACCATGTTAAAAATACAAATTCCTTTGTGTTGCAAAACCAAGCTGATTTACATGATTTGGTTTTAAATTGTTGCTAAATGTTTATCTACACATGCTGTCAGAAATAACCTTGTTAAGAAGGTGAAGCTGGTGTCTCAGCAAATCAGACCCCTTGGAGAAGGCGGTGAGTGGCCTGTGCCCCGTTTTCCTTTTCTCTTTCCGCACCATCAAAAGGAAAAGTGAGAAAATAGCAGAAACATTAGTTAAATCCTGAATTACACCCCGTAACCTACAGGAATTATCTCACTACACTGAAAGCTGACAATATTTGTAGGATTTTTTTTTTTGATGAAATAGTTAGGATCCTGATTATTAATAAAACAATCAACTTGTGGCTAAGCTTACATCTTTAACAAAAAAATCGTTTAAAGACTTAAAGGAAGAAATGAAAGGTTGCTTTTTAACTATTTATGGTTTACCTGACTTACCAGCACTGAAGACAAAAACTTTTAAAAATGGCTACAAATGCCTTGTTCACAAAAGACTTTATTATCTAGTGATGCATACTGAGAACATACAGAAATCTGCATGGTCCACTTCACATGCAGGAGAACAATCTTCACTTTACAATAAGTGAGTGTCAACTGTTTTATGCAATAGACAACACTTTAAAGTCACATTCTTAAAGAAAAGCTTCATTTACAAAAGAAATAAAAGGTAAAGAAGCAATTACCGCTTTTAAAAAGCAGCTGCTTTGTTCAAGAGTGGAAGGTTTATGCCTGTATTGAAAGACAACATGATCACAAATAATGAAAACAATGAACAAATGAAAAACACTTTTACCATAAAGCAGTACACTTTCAAAATGACATACAAATAGTTAAAAATTTCATTATGTTGTCTAACTTTTAAATATGAGGACTTTCAGAATTAGGCCTCAACATGTGTCATTAGTAAAGGAAAATGATGCCTTGTCTCTACGTCACTACGAACTGTATCTAACAAAATGTATATAAAGTCTATAGCAAGTTGGTCTAAAAAACTGAAAGTCAGTAAGAAACAGTACACTGAAGGCGCTGTGTCCATCAAGCGCACACTCTTCCGATTTTAAATGCGATGAACAGAAAGGAAACTGTAACTACGCCACAGTTGCAATGCCAAAAATAACACAACATCAGCTATCACACATGCAGGGAATTCCGCCACAAAGCTAATATCCCTCATTGTCAACTGTTCCAATAAAATAACATCGTAAAACACCAGTGATGTTGATGGTTTAGCTTACCTTCAGTGTACTGAATGTTGTACACAACCTGCTTTAAAAGAGGAGACCATCCCTGCAGGCAGGCTCAAGAAGGAACAGACCCCTTTCGGCACTGACTACACCAAGGGCATGCTGCTGTGGCCTGCACACACACACCTAGGAAAACGTGAATATAAACAGCATTTATGCTGGCCATTTTATCTGAAGACCAATATGAAGCCAAGTTTGCTAAAAATAAATCAACCACCCAGTATTACTACTCATTTTATAACAGATGCTTTTGTCTTTTATGTGAACTGCAACCATGTACATTAGCACTGTAATTTTGTGCAGTCTTGGCAATTAAAACAGTTCTACAGTGAAATTTCACATAAGACACAAAACAGATTAACTAACATTTCTAAAAGAAATATCACCCTTGGTGTTAATTCAAATATATCATGCTTCCTCAAATTTGCTGGAGAAATATTTATAAGTTTATATACATTAATAAACTGCTGTGAAATTTCTTCAGTCTTTGTATTTAATTACTCAAACCCTTGGAGCTTCTTCATCTCATTTAAATTTTTTCCTGGATGAACGCATGCTGTAGGGCCTGGTTGATGCTTATTCGTTTAGCTGGGTCCAACATTAGGATCTGGTCCAACAAGTCCTTTAGCTGGTGTACTTTTTTTCGTTGGTCTTCAGGAAGTCGCTGGCACCCAATCAAGTCAGCCAACAGGTCCTTGGTTGGATTAATGGTGCTCATGACAGTAACTTTCTCCTAAAAATAATTTTTAAAGATGTGTATGTCTACTTTTAAAGAGTTACTGAGCAGATGTATCTTAAATCAGACTGATTGGTCGATCAGAAATTTTAATATATGTACATATATATATCATATATACATATATATAGATGATGATATATTTATCATCTGTTCATTTAAAACTTCATTTTGACAGACCGCGAGAAAGGGAACATAAGCAGGGGGAGTGGGAAAGGGAGAGAAGCAGGCTTCCTGCTGAGCAGGGTGCCCGACGTGGGGCTGGATCCAAAGACCAATGGGTCATGACCCAAGCCGAAGGCAGATGCTTAACAGCTGAACCACCCAGATGCCCCTATTCTCTATATCTTTGTAAGAACCAACTGAAAAAATTGAATGAAAAAAAAAAACCCCAACCACCCCCCCCAACCAGAAAAGAAAAAAACCAACCCCAAGTTAGCTATGAAGGTTTTTAAAAAACATACTGTAAGTTTGTAAGAAGATCAAACTGCCAACAGGAAGTCTATGAAAATCCCCAAAGTTACATAATTAATAATAATTATATGATTAATAGCAATAATAGTAATTAGTAATAACAACAGTAAACGCTTCCTGTTTCAACTCTCCTCTCCCTGCCCTGAAGTGGTGACAGACAGACATGGAACTGTGTGCCTGTTAAGTGCTCTGACAAAGTTAGGAACAGACAATATAATGGGGCAGAAAAGGGGAAAAGTCCCTACTTTAACCTAGAGGATTTGGAAAGGCTCATATAGAGCATGTATTTCCCCTGAGGCTTGAAGTTGGAGAAGTTATTTTTAGGGGATGAGGAGGGAGAGGAGGCAAGTAAGGTCAGGATGGTCTGTGAACAAAGGCAGAGAGAGACATGACATGGCATGCCCTTCAGCAGACTGCCAAGTGTGGAATGGGGGAGGTTACAGAGACCCTGAGGGGGAGGGCAAACTGCTCAAGACCGCAGAGTTCATCAGAGAGGAACCCAACAAAAGGATAAGGATTTTAAGCACCGAGAATAACATGATCAGATTTGTTTTCAAAAAGATCACTCTAGTAAGCAGTCCAGAAGGTGGATGGGAGGGCAGACAAAGAAAATGCTCCCAAGAACAGAGGAAGAGGGCCTAAATACGACCTATCATAAAAATAGATTCATTATACTAGACAAACATTTTTAATTCCCTTCCTCTTTCTCATAAGTTCATTGTGTTTTATTCAGGAATTGGCCACCCGCAAAAAAGAGATTATTTTTAGTGTTTTAAATATTCACAGCTCCTAGTACCACCCAGTATTCAGCTTGTTTACAAAAAGACAATCATTTAAGGTAGCACAGTTAAAAGGGACTTACCCTCTCTGTTACTTTATCAACTTCTATATACATGAAGTTGAGGTTTTGATCAAAATGTTGGTCTTTGAATACGCCTTTCCGAATCATCTGGCAATAAAGCAAAATAAAACTTGGGTTTTGAACTATTACGAAACAGTCTGGCCTACCAACAATTTAATACATAACAAGTCACAAATAAGACTTATTCAGTCTCTCTGGATTTCTCTTCTCATTTAAGGAATCTCTTAGATTCCTTGCTCTGGAGGGTTTAACATATTCGAAAAAGCTAATATAAATGCTGTGCCTGAAACTACTTAATAACCTGAAATTATATTTTCCCAGGCAATGACTTAAACCAATTATAATATCACATTATGCTTTCACTACTCAAAACTGAGACTCAAATATGAAATCATTTGTTCTTAGGAAAAATATAACACATTTGGGGCCTTTTCTCTTGGCAGCTTAAGAAACCTGATGACGTTTTACAAATTATGTCCCAAGAGCCCTGAAATGATACAGGTCAGACCTTATTAAAACAAATACCAACATAACTAATTTCTGTATAACTTATTCTAAACAAGTCCAACATGAGAGAATTTGGACTGTACCTAAAAAACATAATGGCTTCTGACTTATATGGGGCAAAATCTGTACTCGCTCAGAAATTCAGCAAATAAGCTAAAATTATCAAAGTTTAAGATACGGCCCTGAGACAGGTTTATAAATGCCTGAAATTTCTGCTTCATTTCTGAAACTAATTATTGTACCTGAAGCATTAAGGGTGAGTTTTATGTTAGAGAGAGGTCAATTTTAAGTGAGTTTTTCTTGGTACCTTTCCCAAATAACTTTCGATCTTTAATAAACTGATTGCCGTCAAGTTCCTTTTCCAATATTCACCCCATCATTCTCTGACAACTGAGCCCTTCTTCACATCTGAACTAACCTGACCTGCATCTTTTTTCATTCCACCTCTCAAGCATGTTTGGTGCTGTTACCAATAACGGTGTGCTCCCAAGGCTGCTTCTCTGCCCATCATTAAAGGATAATAAATGGAACAAGGGAAGAACAAAGATATGAAACAGTCATATATATACATGTATGGTGCTTAACAAATTTATGCTCATCAATCTCTCTTCCTCAACTACACTTCTACTCTAAACTGTAGGACCCTACCCTCCTGCTTAACAGAGTAAAGAAAAGCAAAGAGACATTAGAGGTGAACAGGAAAATGGAGTTCTCTTAATCACTTCTGATAGCTCTTGGATGATTAGAACCACTATTTTTAAATAGCAGAAATGAAAAAGAGCTAAGCAAGTACATTCACAGTAACCATACACCTGCCTTTCTGAAATGGTTTTATAGCCATTAGTGATGAGTAAAGTGTCAGCAATCCACTGGTCTACAGTAAACTCTTGCTAAGACCTTGAAAAACAACCAAAAACAGCTCATGTTAATGTCCTACCTTATTTGGCATCTTTCCTTTGAGATCCATGGCGAGCTTCAACATATGGTTATTGGTTTTGCCAGGAAATAAAATTTTTCCAGTGTAGAGTTCATATAAGGTACAACCTACAGACCACATATCTATACCATAATCATAGCTTTTACCTATAACTGAAAACAAAACTGAAGTTTAATACACAATGACAGAAACAATCAACCATTTTCGTTAATAGGGGGTTACCTTAGCTTGGCCTACATAACTGCAATCTTAATACCTCACTTTGGCATTAGCTTCATGTTTTTTCCCCACTAATTCTTAACAGACTCTTAAAAAATGAGGGAATGAGGAAGGAATTGAAAGGGCGGGGGGGCAGAAGGAAGTGAATATTTCTTTTCTCATTTCACCTTTGGTGGAGGTGCTAACCAGCCTCAACCAAGGCAACAGGAAGAGCAAAAAACAAAGGTCCCATACAATCCATAAATTTGATAATCAGACCTTGAGTAATCAAGAGCAGTCTTCTAAAGCCGAGGATTTTCCACAACTGTTTTGCTACTCTTGCCAGACATGATCAAGACTCCTGTCACAACTACCACCATTCCACCTGAGGAGGATGAACTTGCTACGGTTCCCTTCCTCATCAATGACCTCGTGCAGCTGCTGAAGTGCGATGGAAAACAGTACTTAGACATTAAATATGCTGTTTCCACTGTGTATGATGGCCCAGGTCAAAAAACATTTGAAGAAACTTACTGATTTCAGGAGCACGATAAAATCTACTGACAAGATAAGGTGTTATGTCATTATCCGCAACATGTGAAGCCGACCCAAAATCGCAGAGCTTTAAAATCGTTTTTGATTCATTAACCTGCAAAACATTTTATCATGGAAGTTTAATTCATGCCAGAAATAATTAATGCAAGTAATCAGATAAAAATAATTGGCTTTGAGAAGTTACTTCCAATACTGAAAACAAAGTTACCCATTTTAAAATTCCTTTTCTAATTATCTTATAATTCAATTTCCTAATTATAAAAAATTAAGAGCTATCAAATATTTGAATATAATTAGTAAAAGAACTTTTTTCAGTAACGAAATACGGGATAATACCAAGTACATTCAATTTTAACCAATGTTACTTTGAAAAGGGGGGTAGTAAGAGAAAAATCTCATTGAAGCAAAGCATCTTCTAAAAATCCCCAGAATACCTGAATAAAGTTGAGTTGCTATTTAAAGGAACATGAAGATAATTCATTAATAAGCAATCAGACTTAGATGAACTTTCAACTGACTGAAGTTAACTTTCAGTTGCCAGAAAATTATGATAGCAATGAAAGCAGAGGATGATTCAGATTAAATCTGGACAAAAACAGAATAAAAACATTCTTCATCCGTAGCTGCTAGACCATCCCAAATTTAGCAATCACTTCAAGTCTAAAAAAATATTAAATCCCTTAAATATAAAGGAGGTATTAGTCAAGAAAATGTTAAATACATTTGGCACAACTGATAAATATGAACTCTATATTAGTTTATTGGTTTCTTTTTTCCTTTGTAAATACTTCAACATACACAGTAACAGTGACATCTGCTGAGAAAGGCTGGAGTTGCTCCCATGGCTGCTGCCACTCATGAGTCAGAAGCATGTTCAGGATTAACAAGTGAAGATAATTCATATTCCAGAGTCCCTTCCCCCCTTCAAAAGAGACACACACAAATTCCGAGTTGGGACTTGAACTTGGCCTATCGTTCCCACCCCAAAGAAACATAACACTTTAAATAAATAGCCTTAGGCACTTTCTACTGGGATATCATAAAGTTTGGTCAGTGTTACAGATTGGCCCATTACAGATGATATCCACGGAATTAAGCTATTAATGGAAATGATTATTTCTCACTGCCATATCCATAACCATTCTCTTCTCCTGGCGGACCAGGAAAATTGGTATCTTCAAATGCAGAAGTACTTTTGAAGCTTTTTGAGGTATAAACTGCATTCAGCTACTTAAGGATGCAGTTTAAAACCCAGAGAAATCCTGGGACAATTTTAAAATTAGAACCTATCAGTAGGACTCTTGGGCTAGCTAAAATGCCTGTAACAATTGCTGGGTATGCACACTTCCACGCACTCCACCAGTTTGGCTAGACAACATCTATCCTCCCTGAGGAACATGGTACTCCTTACCACACTGATGGTTGATTCTGGGCTAAAAGCTTTGGATTTTCATTCACAAACAGCTCCCTCTAGTTTCTGATGTCTACTTTCCCCCTTTCTCAGGAAGGAGACAACATTCAGTGTCTGAAGCCCAGGTGTAAACCTATACTAGCATAGCATTAACTTAAGGAAAACAAAGTTTTAAAAACAAGAGCTCCTAAGATTCTAGCAAATGTCTTATTCTTTAACTTCTATGGTGGTTTACACAGATGTTCACCTTTAAATTTTACATACTGTATACATGCTTTGATATAGATGATATACTTCACAATTTAAAAGAGAAATAAAATTGAGGTAAAAATGAACTAAGAAGCTGACTAGACAAATCTACAATTCATTTGTAACATGAAGTCTACAATTCATTTATTTCACTGTAATTATTTAGCTCCTCTACACCCAAGTTATATTAGATGTGTAACAGACTGTGAAGTCAAATAAAATCTATCATTACAACAGCATGTTTCATAACTAACGTGGTCGTCTGGAAGGAAATATTTTAAGGTATTAAAAAAGAAGAAAAATCTGATTAAGAGCTAATTGATTAATTAATTAATAATTAATTGATGAGGTGTCCTTAATGAACTTTAATGGGATCATAATCTTTTAAAAGGGTAGAATATGGGGTACCTGGGTGGCTCAAGGCAGTTAAGCATCTGCCTTCGGCTCAGGTCATGATCTCAAGGTCCTGGGATCGAGCCCCGCATCGGGCTCCTTGCTCAGTGGAAGAGTCTGCTTCTCCCTCTCCTGCTGCCCCTCCCCGCCGTTTGTACTCTCTGTCTTAAAATAAATAAAATCTTAAAAAAAAAAAAAAAAAGTTTAGGGGCGCCAGGGTGGCTCAGAGGCTTAAATATCTGCCTTCGGCTCGGGTCATGATCTCAGGATGCTGGGATCGAGCCCCGCATCGGGCTCTCTGCTCGGCAGGGAGCCTGCTTCCTCCTCTCTCTCTGCCTGCCTCTCTGCCTCCTTGTGATCTGTCAAATGAATAAAAAAAACTTAAAAAAAAAAAAAAAAAAGGTGTAGAATGTTATCAGCAGACAAGCTAGGAATTCCCCAAGTTGTGAACATACCCCCAATTCTGAATACCTCAGAACAGGGTTAAAGAAATGGGGCCAGGGAAGGAAGTGGTATGTATGCATTGTGTGCATTCATCATTCCCCTATGAAAATGTATTATTTATAAATTTAAGAAATACGAACCCTGTGAAAGTTGCATATTACCACTCCAGAAATCTTTAGTTAAGAGGTGAAGAATGTGAAAGGAACACCTTTCAACTTAACACCTAATCACAACTGAGCTCTTCTGTCTTTGGGCCCTTCCTGGGTACCTATAAAAACACTACTCTATACAACTATTTAAGAGATAATTCCTTTAAATGTCTCTGTGAGACCACAAATCAGAGAACAAAGAACTGTGAACACTATTTCAAATCAGCAAGATGTGCATTTTTTGTATTTAGGTACCAGAGGAAGCCCATCATTACTGTATTAAGGCCCTCTTGGGATTTGTGTGTACTCTAAATCCATCAATCTAAAAGGATAAAACTGAGACAATAGCCTATTTCCTCTTTCTTTGTACTTTACTATAAAATTTCAGGGACTGATTTCTAAAAAAGTAAACACTGGCTAAGTCCTTTGTAATGGGTAATATGCTGAGTTATTCTTTTAAGACATCATTTCTAGAATAATACAGTGGTTATCAATCACATTATCGTAACCTATATGGATGTACAAGGCAGCCTGATTGTTTAACTTACCAGGATATTGTCTGGCTTGATATCTGCATGTAGGATATTGCATCTTTTAAGGAGTTTTAATGCCAAGAACAACTGCTGACTGTAGGATCTTACAGCTTTAATATGAAGACCAACATCCTTACCATATTTTTTTAACACCTCTCGTAAATTCATACTTTTAGGAGAGAAAAAAAAAAAAAACCCACAAAATTAGGGGTTAAAATGCAAAATGGAAATAAAAAAGGTAAAAACATGTTCAAGCATAAAGTAAAATCAAATTCAAAATATTAATTAAAATGAAAGTATCTGTTCATGAGCCCTCTCAGATGTTTAACAAATTATTCTACATTGAAATGAAAGCACATGAACCTGTGTGTATGTAAGACAATTTTCCAATAAAACTCAATTTTCAAAATAAATGGAAGGGGAGACATACAGTGGTAAAGTTCCGATTGATTTTAGAATGGGTTTACATTTCAAAGTCCAAAACTGAAGCCATACTTTTCAAGATCAAAACTGTATTTCTACTTCACTACTCCCATTTCTTTTTATTACATTGTAATCCTTCCTTGAAGTATTTAACTTTCAGAGAATCTCTTGTTGAGCGGAAGGCTACATGAGGTTAGCGTCTGACACACGGCATATGGTCAATTACTGTCTACATAAATGACTGTCACAGAACTAGTTCTTAATCAAAAGTAAACAACAAAACCAGAGCTAACTAGTAAAAATAAACACACAGAAATTGCTCATGCTGTTTATCTAAATTTTTAGTAATGTACAGGGTTGACAGTGTACCTTAGAGGCTCAAATACGAGACAGAGATGCTGTTTGTGATAAAAGTGTCTGAAAAGTCGCAAACAATGAAATTTGTCATCAGGATCAGCATCATTAAGTTTTTTCAGGAATTCTAGTTCTTTTAAGCCAGTTTTTTGCCTGAAAAGAAAAAGGGAATTAGTTCAAAACTGAATACAGAAGAAAACCAAATAACATTTACTAGTTCCAGTTTGATGTATCTATCATAGATGGTAAGTAGCTCGGATTTTTTAAGTACTAATAGTAAATCTGTTGAGGAATGACAATTTTGTAGGTCACTCACACAATATTTTATACTTAGTCAAATACTGTTCTCCTGGAGCTTATTTCCACAATAATTAACAGAAAGAAATACTGCAGGAATAAACCCACCTTGCCTGAAGGGTTTCAGTCTTATACATTTTTTTTTTTTTTTCTTTCCTTCCAGAGAGAGGGGAGGGGCAGAGGGAGAATCCTAAGCAGGTTCCACACCCAGCTTGGAGCCAGACATGGGGCTTGATCTCACAACCCTGAGGTCATGACCTGAGCTGAAATCCAGAGTCCGATGCTTTAATGACTAAGCCACGCAGGTGCCCCAAATCTTACCCATTTTTATTTCAAAGACATCTTGATGTAAATGCTATTTTAACAAAAATGGAACCACACTATATAAAAGTCTAAGAACAGATGTCTTACCAGATATTAGCATTTGGTTTTCCTCTAGAATTTTAGTTATCATTTGTCAAATAGGCCATATTTTTAAAAAGGCTGTAAAAATATTTTCTAAGCCTATGGTAGTGAAGATGTTAATATGTATCTATAACATAACAGTTCTTTTCAGTGTTTTAAAGCTGATGGCAAGTAGACTTTAACATCAGCTCAGTGTGTGGTACAGACTGTGCTTATTAAAACCTATGGGTTTGGCAATTACCTCTATTATACAAAAGAAAAAAAGGCAACAAATTCACTACCAGCCTTCTATCATTTTAAAACTGCAATATTTTTACAGATTGGAATATTTTACAGAGGAAAACCAAATACTACAGAACATTTTTAAAAATGTTCACTTGTGAATACCTGTGTTTTTAGGTTTTATTACATAGGTCTTCTGAACTTACATGAGCTCATTGTTTCTGATGATTTTTACAGCCACTTCTTGGTTGGCTCTTGCGTTATCTCTGGCTCGTACAACATTACTGAAGACACCCTGGCCAGTGTAGCCATACACATTGTAACGCTTATCTAGGACTTCACCTATGTTCACACCTAAAAAAGTAAATTAAAAAATGGGAATTTTGACCATAATAAATACTTAACAAAACTTGAGATATACATAATAAAGCACAAAGAAACATAGTGCAGTCACTTAAAAAAAAAAAAAAGTGTCAAATCTCTACTGTGTGCCTGGTTTCCTAGACACCACAGAGAATCAAAGATGAGCCGCCATCAGTCACTCTTTCATAATGTGGTTCAAGCTGCATGCCCACTTCCTATTAACTGCTGAGGATTTTAACATTGAGTAGGGAAGAAATGTGCTCACTGAAGTGTTTCCAACTGTAGTCCTGAATGACAAATACTGCATGACTGGCATCCCAAGTTCCTTGTGTGTCGTTTTTCTTGGTTTCAGATCAAGACGAGGAAGTGACGTTCCCCCTTCCTCCTGGAGGATTATCTCATGGCTGAAAACAACTTTGAATAGATTTAGGTTGCACATCAAGTCTTTACCTCACTTCTATGCATGAAGCTCCTGAGCTGCTTACTGGAATACAGCATGGATTCACGCAGCTATTAGATGTGCCGTCCATTTTAAGTGATGGCACTGTGATGTGACTTTCAGAGTTCTTCAACGTGTGACTGCATCAAGCAACATACTTCTAAAAAATGTTGTTAACAAACGTAAAATTAATCAGAACTGTGAACTTACGGTAATAGCCTTCTGCATCTGTCCAGTTATCCCTGAGGTTGGGATTCTCTTTGAAATCCTTTCCAATGCCAGCAGCCCGAAGACGAGCACTCTGAAATGAAGGAGGCAACAAAAGCTATTTACCTACTAATCAGGCAGACATTTAAAGCACTTCCTTTAAAACCAAGATGGGGAAAACCAGCTATAATTTAATAAAAACATTTTAGCCAAATTAACTCAACTCTTACCATCACCCACGTAAATGCAATGTAGCTGGAAACAAAATTAGCAAAGTCTCACATCACAATGATGCTCAGGAAAAAAATTAACAAAGTTATCTTCAAAAACTCTTTAGGAATATGACTAGGGGATTATAAATGAAAATAAAAACTCAAAAACCAGATCTGGTTTTCTACAGCTATTAACAGACAAAGGAGGACAAAAATTACAGATGGGCATTCAGTTAACAATATTCGACTCTCCTACCAATTTTCACATTTCTTTTACTGCCTCGTCCATGAACACCCCCTGATTTCTCTTCACATATATGCTGCACTAACAGTTCGTGTGGGAAATTAAAGAGTATCTGCACTTCTGAAGAGTATGATGCACCATCTTCCATGATACCCGGAAGACCCTTCCAGGTCCAAGCAAATGATGTGCATGGATACTTTCACTGGCTTAATCATTTCATTCTCTCTTAACCTAAGCTTCCTTTTGACGTTCCTGCTGCAAAGTACAGATATATTACTTAAGCCAATGACCAATGTCTTCAGGGTCCTGGACACAGACTGCTTAATCTTACTCTATTTTTAATTTCTCTATTTTACGTCCACTTTCCCTTGCTAAAGCTTCCCTATTTCTCACGTTCTCTTGAATTTATAATGAAAATGGTCTCATACTTTTAAAATATGTTTTTAAGACTTTTTCAAGAAAAGTCACTAATAGCTAAAAAAAAAACAAAATTTCTTAATCACTTCCTTGTAATAACATTCCCAACTCTTCAGTGAATGTACTAGGATCCAAATCCTAAGTTCTCAATCATCCAGAGTATCGAAGTCCAAAGGAGACTCTGTTCTAATACAGGCCTGGAAATTACTGACATCATCTTGTTTCAGCTAACTATGTACCACAACCCTCCTCCCAACCCCAGTTTGTAAAACGAAAAAAAGTTGTTTCAAAAAAATACACGTTTAAGTCATCTGGTGTTTAACTTTCCTGAAGCTCTTTGAATTGCTCTGCCATACTTGTTTTTAAAATCTTGACCTAATTTTAGACTTAAGAGAAATGTTGCAACACTAGTACAAAGAGTTTCCAGATACCCTTCACTCAGATTGTCCAAATATTAACATTTATTAATTTGCTTTATCCTTTTTTCTCTTTTTGTACAACACAAACATATACTTATTATACATATATGTATATATGTATGTTTTTCTTAAAATAAAGATTTATTTGACACAGAGAGAGAAGGAGAAAGCAAGCACAAGCAGGGGACCCAGCAGGCAAGGGAGAAGCAGGCTCCCCACTGAGCAAGGAGCCTGCTGTGGGGCTTGATTCCAGGACCCAGGGATCATTGACCTGAGCCAAAGGCAGCCGCTTAATCAACTAAGCCACCCAGGTGCCCCTATATATATTTTGTTTAAGAGTAATGTTTTTAAGATTTAAAATTACTTACATCAAAATAGGCGGCAAACATATCATCAGATTCTGTAAACATATCAGGTGCCAAGAGCTTTTTCTGAGATGAACCTTAATGGAAATTGACAGTAATAATTTGAAAAAAGAAGAGATACAAATTGAAACACAAATAAGTCATCAATGTAATATCACTAGCAATTCAAACTTGTACATGTTTTTCATTAATACACAACTTAAAGTCACTTTGTAACACTTAAGATGTATGAAGTTATGCATTTTTTACTAAAAAGATGCATTTCAGAAAGTTGAAAGGCTTAATGATAGTACTTTCTCCACTGTTTTTCTCCAGTATTTAAATTAATATGCTAATAACTAAATGATGATTATGTATTAAAATCAAAGTTCCTCTTAAAAAAATTCTATTTCCAAATTGCAACTTGAATCTCAAAAGGTTAATAACCCCACTACAGATCTAGATCTCTATGCATCCCCTAAAAAGTCCAATAACCCTGAGAAAAACTGGGCAAAATAAAAGAACTCCTTAAAAAAAGGAATGTAATGGCTTTAAGTATATGAACATACATCCAATCTCACTTACAGTAAGGGAAATGCAAATTAAAATTACAACAAAATACGCTTTCTCTTTTGAGATGGGCTAAAAAACCCAAAACGTAGGACAATATCCTGGTAACAAGGCCCTGATAAGCAAGTACTCAGACATTACTTGCAGGGGGCAAAAACTGTGCAAGCCTTACAGAGTAAGAAAACACAGCACAATTACACTCTTTTGACCCAGTAACCTCACTTCTAGGAAATCACTTCAAAGACACAGTGGTAAGCATTAAAAAAATTAGCGCAATGACACTATATTTAATGTTCCAATGAATAATCAACAACTGGATACAACCCAAACATCCACCATTAGAAGACACAGTTCAAATAAACCTTGGCACATTCATCACACTGGAATAGCACATAACTGTAAAAAGGAAGGAAGATCTTTTCATACCAGTAAGTGTGCATATTTCTGTGTGTGCTTGTGTAGGCGAAATATGCACACATGTGAAAGACATTTTAATAATCAAACAGAAGATACTAAAAATCAAAAGCAAATAAAGTTAACCTAAATCTATCAAATGTGTGGTATAAGCATACAGAAGTATTTCAAATGACTTTACACCTTAGAATGTACCCCAAGGATAAAAAGAATCATTAAATTTTCAATTTGCATTCACTACATTCAATATTGGTGATCATACTGATAACTATGTAAAAAAAAGGTTCAAAATAACCTACATAATCATGTTATTAAGGATCACATTTTTCACTATAAAAAAAATAAAAAATCAATGTTACAACCCCTATAATCTCAAGTTTGACATGGCAATTTTTCAGTATGAACCGCCCCTTTCCAAAAATGTATGTATGTCCTAGCTTTGTCCACTGAAAAATCCCATGAATAATGAACGCTCCTAAGTGCTTTGTGAAGTCTAAATGGCATTGGCTGTTAAATGGAAGCACGGTTTCCTTGGAGCAACAGCAGTTTCTGTTCTGGAACATGATAATGTGCAAGGGGATCCTGTGATACCTTCCAATGCAGTAGAAGGGGAGTTTGCAAACTACAGAGTGGGGCAAATCTGGAACCCTGCTCGTTTTCATATGGCCCATGTTTACATTTTTAAAGGTTTTTAGGGTAAAATAAGAGAACACTTTGTGACATGTGAAAATTATATCAAATTTTAAATTTTGGTGTTCACACAGTTTTCCTGGGAACACAGCCGCTTCTGCATTACAAGAGCAGAGGTTCAGCAGTTGGAACACACAAAAAAAACGCATAAATTACAAAAGCCTAAATACTACCTGACCTTAGTTGCTAACCAGTCCTAGAAAGAAACACATTAATAAATATATTAATACCAATATATCCTGTAGGGTTTGGATCAAAAAGACACTGGAAACCAACTTAAAAAGGCTTCTTGCCTCCCCATCTCAGTTGGAGAGAGAATTTAAGTACATGATACCAAATAATAAAAAGCTGACAAAAACAACCCCAATCTCACGGTCATCTCCAGAGGTTGTTAATGTACCAACTCTATTCTATGGTAAGTATTAGTCAATAAAAGAAAACAACCAAGCATTTATCCCGACTTTCCTGTACAAACTGTATTTCCTGGGTAACCAAAGAATGGAAATCTCTTCTTTTACGGAATTACAGCTAATAACTCAAAAAGAATTATGGAAAGTAAAGAATCACCACTTCGGAGTGTGCCCACGTGCCCTCAACCTCCATGAAAAACAGTGGATCTGAGGAATGATCAGCAACGGCTGCTCAAACTGCCAGGTGAACAGCTGAAGGGCAGCTTCATGTCGGACAGATGGGATTATTTTACCTCAACACACAATCGCAATCAAAACAGGACAAGCACACACCACATACGCCACCTGATGCAATGCAAGTACACACCATTACTTAGGCAATGTTCTTGCCCCCCAAAACTAACTTAAATCTACTCAGGTCTCTAACACTTCTATTAGTTTTCAAGAAACACAGAGGATAGAGGAAACAAGATAAATGAAACAAGAGCGTGGCAAAATGAGATTGGAAAGAAAAAGTTTATAGGACACATGCCCTCAGTATCATCACAAGAAAATGGAAAGCGGGGGAGGGAACGATGAGAATAACTATTAAAGACTGAGAGATTAAGAGATATGTGCATTTGGGGTGCCTGGGTGGCTCAGTGGGTTAAAGCCTCTGCATCTGGATCAGGTCATGATCCCAGGGTCCTGCGATCGAGCCCCCTATCGGGCTCTCTGCTAAGCAGGGAGCCTGCTTTCCCGCCCCCACCCTCTGCCTACTTGTGATCTCTGTCAATAAATAAATAAAATCTTAAAAGAGATATGTGGATCTTACTTGGATTTTGATTCAAACCAACCAACTGTAATTAGAAAGACTTAAAAATGACCAATTCTTTAGATATAATGTTTTTTATTTTTATTTTTTAAAGATTTTCTTTACTTAGAAAGCACGAGCAGGGGGAGGCAGAGAGGAAGAAAGAGAAGCTTCAAATAGACTCCATGCTGAGCATGGAGCCTGAAATGGGGCTCAGTCCCAGGACCCTGAGATGACTTGAGCCAAAATCAAGAGCTGGACAGTTAAGAGACTGAGCCACCCAGGTGCCCAAGTAATGCTTTTTTTTTCTTTTTTTTTTTTTTAAAAGTCCTTACCTATAAGAGATACACAATGAAGTATTTACAGATGAAATCAATCAAATCATGGCTGGGATTTGCTTTAAATTACTCTAGCAAGCAAAACAGAAGGAAATGACATTTTCTTTTCTTTTTTTTTTTTTTAAGTGTGCTCTACGGGGGTGCCTGGGTGGCTCAGTGGGTTAAGCCTCTGCCTTCGGCTCAGGTCATGATCTCAGGGTCCTGGGATCGAGCCACATCAGGCTCTCTGCTCAGCAGGGAGCCTGCTTCCTCCTCTCTCTCTCTCTCTCTCTCTGCCTACTGGTAATCTCTGTCAAATAAATGAATAAAAAAATCTTAAAAAAAAAAAAAAAGTATTTAAAGTGAGCTCTATGCCCAACACTGGGCTTGAACTCAAAAACCTGAGATCAAGTCACATGCTCTATTGACTGAACCAGCCAGGTGCCCCAAACAGAAGGTAATGAATACATGAGATTCACTATAATACCGTTTAGGCTACGCAAACTAACTGAAAACATTTATAAAGGACATTCACTGGGACACATTTAATACTGTATTACTCTAAGAGTTAGCCGGGGCAAAATTTCTAATCCCTTTCACTTTTACCCATCCCCAATCTCTTTCATTATTTACAGAACTAAAAATTCAGTGAAAAACATACCAAAACAAAAATCTAACTTACCATTATTCTGTTCAACGGTCATTAGGTTATGCTTGGCTTTTACTGAGGCCTCGAATGTATCAACATTTTCCCGTTCATACTCTTTCACATCAGCAGCTACCCTTTCCAGAATGTCATCTGGAGAAGGTGACCGTGTACAGGTACTACTCTGGGGGCTGCTTGGTTCAGATGGCACAGACATATTGCTATCTTCAGCAAGATATTTATATTTCTGTAACAACAATACAACATATTATTTTCATAAAATCGGATGCATATCTGCCAAGAAGTATTGCACTGAAAAGACAGTCAATGTTAAAAATTTTTAAAAGGTATTAATGTCTTGACTGAATCAGATCCACAATCCCTTACATTTATTTCCAAAATCCAAAAAATTCTGAAAAAGTTCTTCTATGTTTGGTGCACATTCATTAGGTGACAAAACCTCACCTGAACAGATGTGATACTATTTGTAGTCTTATTTTTATCTCCCCCAGTGTGAACAGGGTATGTCTCACTGTTGAAATACTAATGTGTTTGATAGTGGGGTGCTGTTCTAAACCCCACTGATGGGGCTAAGTAATATACACAGATGCACCGTATTACCTTTCTAAAATTCAAATAGTTCTGAGTTCTGAAGCACATCTGGCCCCAAGGGCTGGAGATAAGGGATTGTGGACCTGGGCAAGAACAAAAAAAGATTCAACCAAGTCTCTAGGGATATCAGTTTAGTAACAACAATTTCATCAGTGCCCCAGAAAAGTTTCTCCTGGAATTCCAGTTTTGCCTTACATCCTCTGGTGATTCAAGTTCTCCTTTGCTCTGACCCACCAGTGCCTGATTTATGATTTGCTATGTATGTGCAGGTAAGCTGGCACAAACTATTCTTTCCTTTTGCCTGTTGTCTTCCTTATAGCATCTAAACATTTTTCACTTTTTCCAGAATGTGTTCTCAACTTTATCACTCACCTTCCCATTATCAGAAGGTGTTACACTTCACAGGGACAGCCATCCACAAAAGATCTAGTGGCCATGGCTCTATCTCAGGATGCCTGAGACATAATGGACAATCTTCCAAGGCAGGTAATCTTATTATTAAATGACCACACAAAGACCTATGTACAATACCCTCTCCCCACCCCATTTTCTAAATCACTTACTTCTAAACTACATTTAAAATTATTTTTGAGATGTTCCATTTAAGCAATCACATTTACACAAGAATCTGTATACGTTTGTTTTTTTAGACATTAAAAGTGTTTTTCTCCCCTCCACAAAGAAATAAGTATAAGTACATAATTTTTTGCTACATGAAATTCCTCCAATTTATTCTATACTCATTTATGAGGGTTTTCTTAAAAAAAAAAAAAACAAAACTTCAAATTTTGTCTTAATAAAAGGCTTATATCTTAATCCTATATATAACAAAAAAGGACACCATTTAAACTTAAGAAACTATCTTTTCAAATCTCATAAAGATAATTTCACATATACACTCCTTTAAGACTTCCTCAATTGCTACTACCACTGATTCTTTATTAAAGAAAAACCCTTTTACTTGGAGAGTAATTATTTAAAAAGGATTACTCAACACTTTACTAATATCACATACCTGAACTATTGCCTGCCTCTGTATTCTTCTCTGTTCTATTAGGGCTTCTTCATCTTCTTCTTCTACATCAAAGTCTTCAAGGCTTAAAAAAAAAAACCAAAAAACACACATATATACACATAATTAATTCCAAGCATCCCTAATTAGAAAGTCATAACTGTTACATAGTATTAAAATAAAAACTAGAAAACATAGGTTATCCACAAGTTCCAGCAAAAGTTTTAAGCCATCTTACTCTCTTTATTCTCTTTATAAACTCTCTCAGTTGCCTGGTTTAGAATCCTGGCAAGTAATTTAACCCTCTGTATCTCGTTTTTTCTCCTCACTTGTTTCATGGCACCGAACTAGGGAACAAAAGAAAGATCCTTAAGTTCAAAAAAGTGACCCCTGGCTCTACCATGACCTTGCTATTACTAAAGTCATTTCACCTAGCCAGGCTCAGTTTTAACCCCTAACAGAACAAAAGTGAGACACATAAAACTAGTACCTTCTCTGAGTCATAGAAAGCTATAGATCCTTGGAAAGCTATGGATCCTTTTCCTATCAAAAATGCAGATGTAAATATTTGCATACAATCTGACAGAGAATGTGGCTCTACCTCCAGACACTGGCCCTGACTGGTCCCAATTTCCTCCCGAAGACGTCCAAATCTTTACAATCCCTCCCCACACAGCCTCTTTTATGATCTGCGAATGTTCACTAAAAACCAGTAAGCAAACTGTACTCAAAGGTATCAGGACCTATGTTCAAAATCCTTCACTTAACTTGCATATCACATAGCTCTGACTAGGCTTTCAGGACTTTAGTGCTACTGACATTTTGACAATTCTTCGTTACAGGAGAGGGTGCTACCCTGTGCACCGGCAGATGCTGAACAGTATCTCTGGTCTCTAGGCACAAGATGGCAACCAGAAATACCTTTAGATATTGCTGAAATGTCCTCAGAAAGGCAAATTACTCCCAGCTGAGGATCACTGCTCTAAATTATCTTATTTTTTGAGATGTTCCAACCAGACAACTAAATTCACATTAAAAAATTTTCTCACTAGACACTGAAATGTTTCTGTATTTTCCACACTGTAATAGGCATTCCTAACAACAGACAGCCTCAACTGCAAAGTAGGTTACCATTTTCACAAACTGAAAAGTTTAAAAATTACTATATCCCTCCACCCCCAACCACTGCAAAACTTCTAATCAAGGTTGGTAGGGCTACCTAACAGATCTGTTGTCTCTAGTAAAAAATGAAAAAGGGAAGGCTCATATATACTCCAGCCAAAATTGAAACCTCTAAATTCAGAAAACCATGATCTCTGCCACATTACCTATAAAATATGCACAAAAAAATAAACTTTTAGGGTGCTTGGATAGCTCAGTGGGTTAAGCCTCTGCCTTCGACTCAGGTCATGATCTCAGGGTCCTGGGATTGAGGCCTGCATCAGGCTCTCTGCTTAGCAGGAAGTCTGCTCCTCCCTGCCACCCGCCCCACCTGCCTGCCTGCCTACTTGTGATCTCTCTCTCTCTCTGTCAAATAAATAAGTAAAATTAAAAAAATAAACTTTTAAATTCAGGACCTAATTAATAGATTCACTTATAATATCCAGGTGGAAATTAAAAGATTTCCAGATCCAATAGTACTTGTCTAAATTGGAAAAAGGAAATTATGGGAAATTCCATTCTTACTTATCATCCGATGAAGATTCTTGTTCAACTTTCATTCCTTCAGAAAGACTTCCTTTAAATTTATCTTCCTTTACTTTGCTTCTGCTCCTACGTCTACGACCACCCCGTGATCGAGACCGCCTTCTCAAGCGTGACCGGCTCCTCCGACCTCTGTCCCTATTTTGGGGGGGAGGGAGGGAATTATACATACACACATTTTAAAGATCAATTAAAGGTAGAGAATCTATGGGTGTGTTGGGGGCAGTAGTATATACGAACTTATACTTTTCAAAAGCTCAGGTTTGCTGTGAACTTAAAACTACTCTAAAAATGCAATCTTTTAAAAAGAGATTAATTAAAAATTTAAAGTTAAGTAACATATCAGAAAGATCAGGGGTAATCAGCTTCACTGAAGATAACTAAAACACAGCTATTGTTCTTACTGGACTGTAAAGGGTCACGAAAGAACTTTGGGGGCAATGGAAATGTTCTTGATTATGATGATTACGTGTTTGTCAAAACTCACATAACTTTACACCAAAAAGGATGATTTTATGTGAATGTTTAAATAAAACCGAATTTAAAAAGAGATCACTGGTAATAAGGTATAGAAAAGATAAATGTGACAAAAATTCCAAATCTAATTAATATAGCCTTCAGATGTTTTTCTAAGTGCATAAAGGTCTTGCCTCATGTCTAACAAAAACTGGTATCATGGCTCAAGCATTAAAGGTGAAGTTTATGTTGGAAAGATGCTATGGAACTCCAAAGAGAAAAGGTTGCTAAGTCTACAAAGAATTGGCAAACTCCCAGTTAATGTCACATCTGACTACCAAGCTTTGTCACATTTCTCAAGAAACCTTACTAAAATAACATGAAAAGAACAACTGAAAAGAAAATCCTCAGGCAAAGAGAATGCGAAGATCTATGACAACAGAAATATCAACAAAATCTTGATGTGTGAACTGGATAGAATAGTAACAAATCAAATTTAAATATTAGTCCAATAGGACTAATAAAGTAAGAAAGAAACCAGTAAATGCATGCCACAAAACCCAAGAAAGCCTCAGGAATTGGAGACAACATATTCTGTTGGATGCAGTGTGAGGTAAAAACTAAAAGAACTGGTTGAAAGCCTTAGGAAAAGCTTGCCTCTGTACAGTCCCATTCCTTACTCAGCAGAAAATGCCAAACATTCTTCACGTTCTGGCATAATACTTAAAATTTTTTAGAGAGGTGTAGGTTGTTATAAAAACTGACCCAAGGTAGCAGGGAGGCACAGTACTGAACGTTAAATGATTAAGGGGAGGTCTACATTATGAAGAACCACAACTCTCCCAGCAGCCATGTCAATATTCTCCAGCAGATGAGAGAATTCTGGAAAACTGGTAGCCCAAAAGAATAGGGCTACAGTCAGATATGCTAAAGAGATTTAGTTACACTGAAGTGATACCCACGAATACACATATTCTACATTCTTAGAATGGAAGAAAGCTTCCATTCAGCTTTCACAGTGGCTAAGTTTTAAATGAGAATAGGCAACAAGAAGGATCTGGCTGTTTATGAGTAAAGTGCTCAAATGAAAAAGGTAAAGGAACAAAAGAAATAGGGAAGAAACAAAGCATAGGTATGAAAACTATTAAGAACAAAAATTCCATAAAATAAACTCATTATCACCTTTGACCCAAGAGATGTTACTTCTATAAAACATGAGTAAAATGGCATAAAAAAATTAAGCAGCCAGCAAGTCTTAGAAATAAAAAATAAATATACATGAACACAGGGGGGAAAAAAAAGAATCAATAGAAAGGTAAGAAGGGTGAATGGGAAAATCTCCTAGACTGAAAGTGGAACAAAAGGACAAACAGGAAAGAGGACTGTGTGTGGGGGGAAATCAATGGAACAATAAAGTAGGTCCAGTGAAGGAGGGGGGGTGCAAACGGGCAAGAAAGCAAACCAAAACCAAAACCAAAGAAATAAAATTTCCCAGAATAGGCAGCCATAATATCCTGGCTTTAAAGGGCCTATGTAGTGCCCAACAAAATTAATGGAAAGAAAAGAGCCATGCACCAAGGAACATTATAGTGGAATTCAAGAACACAGAACAGTTATTTATAAAGAGAGGGAGAGAAAAAACCAAGTCCTTTAAGAAATGCCCAAGCATCAGAATAGGACTTCTCACTAGCAGTATTGGAAACTAGAAATCAGTGGAGTAACAATTTCAAAATTCTTAAGAAAAAATTATTTCAACTTGCAATTCTACTCCTTGACAAATCAAATCAGCAATGGGGATTTAAAAAAGGGGGGGGAGGCTTCTGAGAAACAAAGGTCCCCCAAAATATCCTTTTCATAGAAAGCTACTGGAGATGCATTAACAAAGCAAGGAAGTAAAACCTGATGATGCTGGACACAGGAAAGGGAATCACAAAATAAGACAGAAAGGAATATCTGGAAGACAGAAAACGGAAAACAAATTCTACAGTAATTGTATAAGCAGGCCCATTAGTCAGCTTGGAGCCAGAAGGTCAGAAGCATTAGGAGTAAGGTCTTTCCTTGCCCCCTTCCCCTGAGTACTTGGCTCAACAATGAGCAATACGCACAAGAGCATAATGACTGTAACAGCAACATAGAAAAATGTTATACAATTAGGTAGAAGAGAAAGTGTGATGGGTGGAATTAAAAAAAAAAAAAGGAGATGCTGGGGTGCCTGGGTGGCTCAGTCTGTTAAGTGCCCAACTCGGAATCAGCTCAGGTGTTAATCTCAGGTGGGGTTTTGAGTTTAAAACCCCACACTGGGCTCCACAATGACCATGGAGTCCACTTAAAAAGAAAAAAGAAAAGAAACATACATAACTGCCCAAAGTAAGAAATCAATAGATAATATGGCAGTAACTTCAAAAATTTAAACATATACAACCTCCGACGAAGCACTTCTGCTTCAAGAAATCTAGTATACAAAAATACTCAGAGATTATGCAATGATGTATCCACCAACTGGAATATAAGCCTTTGGTGTGCTGTCTTTTTAAACTACATTAATGTATTAGTTCAATTAAAAACGTTAAAAAAATTGGCAAATCAAAGTCCACTTACGTCTGAGTTAAAATGTTTAAACACAGGACTGTCTGAGTGGCTTAGCTGGTTAAGGTTAAGTGGTGGACTTTTGTTTTGGCTCAGGTCCTGATCTCAGGGTTGTGAGATGGAGCCTGAGGCTGGCTCTGTACTCAGTGGGAAGTCTGTGGGAGATTCTTTCCCTCTGCCCTCCCACAACTTGCATGCTTTCCCTAAAATAGATACACCTTTAAAACAAATTTAATGCATATATTTTAAAATGATTCCTGCTTTACAAACCAACATTTTGATTAACCAACTCACTACGTTTGCTTCACAAAAAATGGTTTCTACTACTGTTGAGTTAAACAATTGTTTGCCCAAGAGTTTCACAATCATGTTAGATCTTAGATCATCTTAGATCATGTTCTAAGAGGACCAAATACAAGTTAATAGAAAAATGGAGAGCCGCAATTACATAAAGACTGGAAACTGGGCTACTTATTTATTACCTTATGATCCATCCTGCTTAAAACAAAACAAAACAAACCTGTAAGCATAGCTCATGTAGGATTTATCTTTCTCAAGAAGTAGGAAAAAAGTGTCTCCCTTTCAAAAGATTGTTTTTAATGAACCACTGATTTAAATTTGAAAAAAAGATAAAGGAAAATCAGTGTGTGTGAAATATCACAAGGTGGAAAAAAGGAAACCATATGGTACTGCAGCTACAATTTTTCACAGAGAAAAATGGTCTTTAAGAAAACCTACCGCATGAGCTAATATGAACCCACCAAATGAGCTAATATGAGAAGCATACAGAATTTAAAGAATTAAAAAGGTCAATATACGTAACATATCTCTACCTCCTCCGAGGGGACCTGCTTCTTCTCCTGGGTGACCTACTACGTCTGAGTGGGGAACGAGACCGTCTTCTAATGGGAGATCTACTTGCTCTTCTTCGGGTTGGAGACCACCTATTGATTGGGCTGGCATCTTTTGATCTTTCACGTCTACTGAGGATATCATCTCGAGGTCGTGTTCTTAAAGGGACCAAATACAGGTTAATAGAAAAATATATTAATGAATTTGTTTGGCACATAAAAGACATCTTAAGAAAGGCACACTAACCTGAAGACAGTGCACAGAGATTAATATGTTTTGCAACAAAACTTGAATTCAGAAAATCACAATGATATTTTGGTGTTATGGTATGCACTACAGTAAAAGGTCTACTTCCTCTGGTCTCACGATTTGAAAAATTATAAAGGTTATTCACCTTGTTAAGCCACGACTCTAATTCCAGACAAACACCTCAAATAAAACTTGTCTAAATTTTGACATTTTTGTAATAGAGTCTTATTTTTAATATATTACATGTAACAACATCTTACAATGACTCTTAACCTTAGAACAAAGAAAATGTAACTGAGGGTTTAGAGAAAGGGACAGTCACCTACTCAAGGAAATACATATTATATAACTTTCCTGGAAAGACATGTGACAATACTTTATAAAATGTAAATGTACATTACCTTAGACTTTGTGATTTCACTTCTATGAATCTATTCTATTAAAAACTTCACACATAAACAACAGACATCTTTGCAAATAATCCTGAAAAACTGGAACCAACCAAAATTTTCGTGTTTCAATAAGGAAATGATTAGAAGTGACCCCTGAATATGGGTTTGAATGGAGCAGGTCCACTCACATGCAGACTGTTTTTACAGTACAGTACTACAAATGTATTTAGTCTTCCTTAGGATTTTCTTATCTCTAACTTAATTATAACAATACAGTATACATAATACTAGAGCATACAAAATATGTGTTCAGTTATTGGTTAAGATTCCAGTGAGCAGTAAGCTATTAGTAATTAAATTTCCGGAGAGTCAAAAGTTATCTGCCCGTTTCTGTCTGTAAAGGACTGGTGACCATAACATGTTGTTCAAAGTGCAACTTTGTATATATATACTATGAAATACAGTGTTGCTATATAAAGAGCTAAAAGAGATCTTTACTGTCACAGAAAAGTTTCAGAAAAAAAAGCAGATCACATTTTAACATGTAGGACTCCATTTCTGTAAGAAAGAACATTCATAAAATTGTATGTGCATAAAAAAATAACTAGAAGGACATATTGTTATCACTTATAGTGGAGAGATGAAAAGGGAAAGACTTTACAGGCTTCTGCCTTATCTGAATTTCTCTTTAATTAGTACCTTTTCTGTAATTAAAAAAAAAAAACTGTTTCAAATATTCAACTATAGTCCTTAATAAACTGCTCAGAATTTCCTTTTCAAATTGAAGGCAAATTGAAAGAAACAAAGATTCAGAAACACTTTAGAGGACATAATCAGCAATACTAACTGTCTCAATTTAGAAAGCTAAAGGAAGAAGGGGGCCATTTAATTACAATGCCACTTAGAAGAATTAAGAGTATCTAAGATACAGCACTTTGTGCAAACAGTGTTCTTGAAATTTTTCAGAAAACGATTTAAACTTCAAGGTCAGCTTGTATTTATATTCACACACAATACATGGCCAGGAATTTTTATCTTTACGTAGTATAAGCAAACCTTCTTTTAAGCTAAACCTGGCTGATAATTTCACATGTCCAATTATTCAACATAAAGATACTAAAAAAATCAGTTTCTAAAGTAGTTCAGACTAGTCTAAATAATCCCCACCCACTCTGCTAAAATCCTTCTTGTGCCTTAAATACCTATTAGTTCTATGATGGCGAGGTAAACGGAATAATCTCCCAATCTATAAATTTTCTCACTTATAAACTGAATATGAGTCATTCCACTTTGTGAGGAGGGATAATCACAAGAATTTGAGGGGGAAAAAAACTGATAGGCTAAAAGTATTATATAAATTCCCCTTACTTCCCATAAATGGGACTACATAAATGGGTATACGTGATTTATCGGCCAAATTACTTGGATTTAAAGGAGCGACCGCAAACCTGATACTAAATTAAGAACTTGGGGAAAAAAAACTGATTGTATTTATAAATCTTTAAATCTTTTAGTCAAGCTACTCATTAAAAAAGTACAATTATTAATATAGTTAGTGGACAGGATCTTCTTAAAACCATAAAACTACCATAAGACTACCGTAAGACTACTTACAACCGTAAAACTACTGTAAGACTACTTAAAACCATAAGACTGATTATATTACCTTATTTTTTATTGTCCACAAGTTCTAGTTTCTCCTTTTTAAAATCTGGTGCATTGGTAAAAAGTATTAACATTTTGAAAACAAGTTACCTTGGAGAAGAAAGTCTTCTCCTTTCTGGTTCTCTTCGTTTTCTTTCCAAGGATCGGCTCTTGGCTCTTCTACCAGGAGACAGAGTTCGGGAAGGTGATTTGCTTTGTTTAGACCTTCTATCATTTACAAGTGGAGATCTACTTCTCCTTGACTTATCCCGCTGTTTTGGAGACAAACTTCTTCTTTTAGGACTTCGACCAGGTCTTCTACTGGGTGACCGATTTTCTTTCCCAGAAGAAGCATCTTTAGAGGGAGATTTAATTGGCTTCTTTTCTTTATCCGTGTCAGACCGTTTTGATTTTCGCTCTTTGGACCGTGATCTTCTGTCTTTGGATTTACCTCTTAAGTCAACTGGGGATCTGGATTTCTTGCCTCGATCACGACTTCTACTTTCATTTATAATTGGGGATTTTTTCCTGTCTTTTGACCTACTTTTATCCTCAATTTTAACTTTGTCATCAGCAGGAGATCTAGCCTTCCCAATTTTTTCTTGAGATCGCCTTCTAAGGGTAGGAGATTTTGATTTCCTTGCTTGATCTTGAGACTTACTTCTCTTGGATGGACTTTTGGACTTTTTCCTCTCCTTTGACTTGCTCCTAGTTGTCTTCTCTTTAACTATTTCAACACCTCCCTTACTTTTCTTTTTATCACTCCTATGTCTAGTCCGTTCTTTGGATCTGCTTTTACTTCGCTTTTTTGTACTATTTTTATTGTCCATTAGTTCAAGTTTCCCCTTTGTACTTGAAGATCTGGTACTAGACCTATTTCCATTTCTTGCTTTTTCATGTATCTCCCCCTCTTCTTCAGAGCCAGACTCATAACCTTGTAATATGAGCCCCATCCCAGATTGGACCTTTCCTTCCATTAACTCATTATCAAGTTCAGCTTTAATCAAGGCTCTCTGTTTTTCCAAGTCTTCCAGCAATGCTAAATCATCAAGTTTAGTTCTTTTTGCTGGAGAAAGACCTTCTTTGTCAGAAGCATCAATAGCTTCTTTTCTTTTGTGTTTCTTATGTTTATGCTTATGTTTATGTTTTTTATCCTTGTCTTCTTCTGAGGAATGTTTATGTTTCTTATGTTTACTTCTGTGTTTATGCTTCTTTTTTTTGTGACGACTGTGCTTATTTTGAGATTGGTCTTCTGATACTTCTCCATTTTCTTCATTTACACTCTTTTCGGAATTATCAGCATCTTCTATCCTATAAATGTATCAAACACATTTCAAAATTGTATCATTTATCAAGCATTTAGTCGCAACAATATAATAATAAAATACATCCCAATGTAATACATGAAGTTAGTCACTGAAATATTTTCGGAACAGCTTCAGACATTTTACTGCAAAGATATATGGCAAAAACTGACTTAGTGATTTAACTTAATGGCTGAACTCAAATAGACTACAAACAAGAGGGAGGTTAAAATAATCACACTTAATAAAAAGAAAATCCAAAACCAGTATAATAAAATGTTAATATTGATTTACAGTCACTCAGTAACTTGTTTTTAAACCATAATTTCCCACACAGACTTAAAATCAAATCTACGTGCCACCCCCCCAATCTCTTTCTCTACTTTAAATTGAGAAGTATACTTTTCTTTTTAAAATCTTTACAACCAGTATTCAGCTATATCCAAAACAGGCATTCTATCAATGTGCAGTGGTGGCTGATGCTGAGTATAACACACCTTCCAAAGGTTAAAATTTCAGAGTGATCTGACCAGGAGTTACGAAGCTCAGCCTGTAGTGGCCACTGAGCAGCCATGTGGTATTAGACTGAATCACATCAAAGGATCTCCTGTAGGTCAACAATAGTTCAATATCAGCCAAAGCTTACAGTTCAAATAATATTTATTCAATGGGCTATTTAATCTCTTTAAATTTCAAATGAAAGATTAGTTTCCCAAAGTATGCTCATATTGATTGGTGCCATGCAAAAATAATGTTAATAAAATTAATTACACCAAAGGGTAGCTTTTGTGTTTAAATGTTTAGACTATGCTGAGTTTATGATTCCAAATTATTTTGCTAAATCCTTGCAGTTCATTATTTAACCTTCTCCTTTAAAATCATTCCATACTAAAACATCACATCCCAGACTTTAAATCATCTGGATTCTGACAATCACAATATTTGGAGGAAGATATGGATTATTTTGTCTAAGTCCTTCAAGTTATGTACTCCTGTACTTCTAGTAAATTTATGATTTGTGCCAAAGTTAAGAACTAAGTTATTCAATTTTTTTTTTCTTTAAGAGAAGGAAAGGGAGGGGGAGGGAGGTGGGGGAGAGAGATAATGTTAAGCAGGTTCCACACCCAGCACAAAGTCAGATCTGGGGCTCAATTTCATGACCCCCACCCTTTTTTTAAAAGATTTTATTAATTTATTTGACAGAGAGAGAGATCACAAGTAGCACAGAGGCAGGCAGAGAGAGGGCCAACAGGTTCCCTGCCGAGCAGAGAGCCTGATGCAGGGCTCAATCCCAGGACCCTGAGATCATGACCTGAGCCAAAGGCAGAGGCTTAACCCACTGAGCCACCCAGGTGTCCCAATTTCATGACCTTTGATCATGATCTGAGCCGAAATCAAGAATCAAACCCTTAACTGATTGAGCCACCAAGGCACCCTGGAATTCAATTTCTTTTAATATTTTTTTAAATAATGTGTAAGACTAGTACCAGCCATCCTCAAGGAAATTATAGTCCAGTGGAAAAGAAAGTCACATGAAACACTGGAAGAATGCAGTGATAAAAGATGGAACAATGATCACCTAACATCACTCTGAAAAAGATCAAGGAGATCACAGAAAAACCCAAGTTATTTGTTAAGCAGAAACTCTGAAAGGACAGAAGAAATATTTATTGAGAAGGAACATGGATCAGAAAATAAAGGTTGAGTAATAACGTCCTAGAGAATGAGTAAGAAATTAACAAGAAAGGAAAAGAGTACTTTAGATTGGGGGGGGGGGGAGGTGACAAAAGGTACAGTTATAAATAGCAAACTATAAGCAGATCAGTGTTGCCAGGGCATCAAACTTTTGAAGAAACTGGTCTAATGGCTAAGATCTCAAATGTACCAATTCCAGGAGATAAAAAGATATTACAGGAGATTCTTCCTAGAATGGCTGAGATAGAGTCAGAGGCTCACTGGGGTCAGAGGCCCAGATCTACAGGGTTAGACTGCTAGACAGTGGTCTGTAAGGACACTGCCATTACAGCAGGAGTCAGAGGGGAGTCTGGTCCCCCAGCCAGGTCTCAGTCTTCAGTAAACTTGGAAGGCTTGGAGAGGGAGGTGACATACTAGAGGTATGCTTGAAAAGTTCTTAGTTGGTAACAATGAGGTGGTATGGAGAACATGAAGAACATACAACTACCACAGAGCAAGAACCTTAATTTTTGTCAGACTGCCAATCTCCATTTTGGTACTGTGAACTCTGAGTACTGAAGGGAGCTGCAGAGAAAGCTGGATCTTCTGGATGACAGGTTTTAGTATGGACTGACTTCTCTCTAATGGGGAATGAAGATGACAGAATAAATACAGCAAGGTTCTCTGGGATCATCAAATTTTCTCAAAGACTTAAAAAAAGAAAGTGTAATATCTTTACATGGGGGAGAAAAAAAACCCAGTATGGTTCTATTATGGTGAGGAGAGAGGGGAGATCACAGATTTAAGTAGAGATACAAAGATTTATTTTTTAAGGTTTATATTTGAGAGAGAGTGTGTAAAGAGGGGGGGAACAAGAGAATCCTTAAGCAGACTCCCTGCTGATTATGGGGCCCTCCATGGGGCTCGTTCCAAGACCCTGAGATCAAAACCTGAGCTGAAACCAAGAGTCAGATGCTTAACCAACCAAGCCACCCAGGTGCCCCACTACAAAGTCATTTCAACTTTGTTCCTTTTACAGGCTGTAACCTCATATAGGTAACCACATCCCTTCACTTGAAATCTCCCATCAAGCTAGAAAGTGATGGTGTATGTTTTTTTCCCCCCCCAAAATTCGACTTGTAGGGGGAAACATGTGAGAAAAACTGAATTAGGCTAATTTAAGATTTGGAGACAAGTATGGAGAACCTGCTTAAAGGCTGACAATAATTTTCAGGTATATAAAATCTCAGTCCCAAAGTACAAAATTCTAGTCGATAAGCTAAAACTCAAACTATCTAAAGACCCTTTAATGTGTCTTCAAGAACCAGTCTCCAGAGTGAGACTATCTGGGTTCAAATCCTGATTGCAATACTTACTAGCTGTGTGGCCTCAGGCAAATTTCAGTTATCTCTGCTCTGCAGGAACCTCATCTACAAAATGGAGAAAACAGTACCTACTCAAAGCAAGCTGTCAGGATTGCATTGTTGTTAACAGATGTTATTAAGCTCATGATGGTGCCTAGCACAGACCAAGTGCTTCAAAGGTGAGAGATTACTCTTACTGGATAAAAAGATTTACTTACTACGACACTGCAGAGCTGTCAGGGTTGACACTAAGAATATTATTTTCAGTAAAATGGTCAAAGAGCATGGACTGAGTCAAACCACCTTGTTCAAATGGTGTTTCCAACATGACACACCTAGTGTAACCTTAGGCAAGTCGTTCCTCCATGCCTCAGTTTTCTAATTGTACACTGGGGAAATAACAGTATTGATAAATCACAGGTTTGTTGCAGCAATAAGTTCATATATATAAAAGGCTACCACACAAATTACTGAAGAAATACTGTCTAAGTCTCCAGGACAGAGGAGACTAAGTTTCAAGGAAGTTAAATGGTCCTGCCTTTGGTCAAACACACATCAAGCTAGTGAGAAGGCTAGTATTACAAGTCAGTCAAGAGCTCTTCCATTTGATTGAAGATGCTTTTAAAATGTCAGATCATATCACTACTCTATGTGACAGTTGATTATTGCTTCCTATCACATTCAGAGTAAAAACCAAAACTGTTTACAAGGCCCCATACTATCTGCCCAACCTCCCCAACACACTGATCCTACTACTTTCCTCCCACACTCACTATGCTTTAGCCACATCGCTCCCCTTAAACAATAGTTAAAACCTATCTCAGGGCCTTGGTACTGGTCCTTGCCGTTTCTCCACCTAGAATGCTTTTCCCAGACATATACATTACTGGTTCCTTTCCCCAGCCTCAGATCTTTGCTTAAATTACTTTCTCAGTCAAGTTTTCCTCACCAATTCATTTTAATCATTACCCTCACCCTACCACAGACATATCCCCTTGCTCTTATTTTTTTTTTCTCTGAAGTAATTGCCACCACCTAATTCTTGTTTGCCTCTCTGTATTGTAACATATGCCCTGTGAGAGCAGAATTGTAATTTACTTATTAGTTCACTGTTCTATCCCTAAGGCCTAGTAAACTTCTGAACCTAGAGTAACCAGGTACTCAGTAAGTAATTTGTTGTGTCAATGAAATGATTTATATAGATAACACATAAAAGTTGTATTCATTAGACTACAGCTCGGCTTACACTGCCTATACTATGCTGATCTCTTGACAGGAAACATTTTGGTTTTGCTCAATTATATGTCCACTGCATACACCTATCCGGTGGATGCAGTACCTCAAAATGATTTAAATTTAATTACCTCCCTCCCCAAGAAAAATCTACTCTTTGAACCCTCTTCTAGTGCTTTCTACAATTTACAAGTGTTCCAGGACTTGCAAATCAAAATTCTTAAGAGTTTACCCAGATAGGAAGTAATTTCCTTCAAAAGAAAATCTAGCTCCTAAAGCTTCTGAGAATTTAGAAGCTATATTGTGATGTCCACTGTCACTTCAGAGTTATTTATCTGAGTGGCTCTAGTTTCTAATGTAACTTAATGAATGTTATCTAAAGAAATGATTCCATTACTGACAAAGACGCGAAAAGCACTTAGGGCCCATTAGTTTAACCTTAATAATTCTAGAGTTCTCCTATGCTAGGGTTCGTAGACCTTCACCCTCAAGTTGCTCTCTCAATGCAAATTCCATAGAAAATACCAGCTGAAGTCTGACTACATAAATTAGGAAAATGTGAACTCAGTGAATTGATGGCATATTACACCAAACAAGCTTGTGCTAAAGCAGCTAATTTAGGTTCAACATCAACAACTTTCTTCTAAAACTTTACAGAAAGGTACCCTGATAACAAAAGTCTTCTTGCATAGTTCATATCTGTAATAAACACAGGTATTTAAGTTCCATATACGCAAATTTACATTTTAGCATTTACGTTCTGCAATTTAACACTTTTGCAATTTACACATTTAGCAGGTCTATATTTAAACCAATATGGTCTATAACAAGTTTGTCATAAAACAGTACTTACTGAGAATTGAGTAATATCCTTCAAATCACATTATTTGGAAACGAAGCTGATTTGAAGTGCAGACTATATGCGAATATTAAAAGACTGGTTTTATCATTTATTGTTAAATGCAACGTGTAAGTTTCATCCTTCATTCAAGGGTCTCTGAGCATCTGGTACAATGAAACAACTTTAAAATAAAGACTGATTAGGAACCACTACTGTTATTTTAATTTCCTATTTCAAATTTTTAAAAAAGAATACTTTTAATGACATCTTATTTGGGAGGCATTCAATTTATGCTCTGGAAACAGAGAATGGTGAGCAAAGTGAATGCCATTACTTCTTTACAAAGAAAGTAATTAAGCCTGTTTCTCTGACAACTTCAACTACTTTAATATGGAATTAATGTAGATGTAAAAATAAGAATGGATTCAAAAAAACCAACTAGTCTTAAAATGAACTCCTCCACCCCCCCTTTTCCAAATCGGGTGTGGAAAATTAAGCTTCAAAGAATTAGAGCTGTCACATCAAAATAAAATGGACCTTTTCTGGGACACTGGAAGTCAATAAAAAGGATTTCAAACCTTAAAGGCTGTTTTTAAAAGGAGCCACCGTGTATAGTGGATGGCTAGACAATAGAATAAGTTAGGAGCAGGGCTCTAGAATTCGACTACCTGGATTTAAATCCTGGATCTGTCACTTAATGTGACCTTGGGCAAGTTAATTTCTCTGTGCTTTAGTTTAATCATTTGTAAAACAGCAACTACGTCCATAGGGTTGTTATAAGGATATTTTGTTCAGTGCTTTGAACAGTATTTGGTACTCGGTAAGTGCAAATAAGTGAATGCAGATAAAAATTTAAATGTTTAAAACCATCAAAGAGGCTGAGCTAAAGAGATGGACAAACATAAAAGCCACTAAAAGGCCTTGAACTACTTAAAATTTTTTTATTCCTTCCCAAATGTTCCACTTCGAACAGAGTTCATACAATTGCAAACTACTTGGTGTCCTCTAAAAGAACTGTTTAGACACTATATTCCAGCATTCACTATAAGGAGCACACACAGTACTTGCTTTCATACAAAATTTATTTTATTTGTTAAACATTTCCAACTAAGTGGGACACTTACAGACCAAATACTCCATTTATACCAAGAGTTCTGTGGGGGAGGCAAGGTGGAATTAAGGACTATTTATTTCAGGGGCACTCATACTGCAGAGGCATAAATAAATGCTAATTATTAAGTCTAGAATTTGAATATGCATATAAAATAGGACTCAAGCACTCCTCAAAATTAATCTGAACAGTCCCTGAAATCAAATAAATGGACGTAATACTATAGAACTTTGAAGAGGTTGCTAGAAAAAAACAGCTGCCTAACATCTGTACTGTATTGGCATAAATACTGGAACGTGCCACACTGTGGACTCAATGAGAAACAAAAAGGTGAAGTTTCATTAAAACTTTAGAATCCATCTGCTCTCTTCTAAGTCAATTTGTGAAGATAACAGAGCAATCTTCAAAAGCCCTTAATGAAAAACAGTATAATTCTCTGAGTAAAGCAAATGATTGAGGAGTCTAGAACAGAATGTATAGCAATGAAATGCTGGGGCGCCTGGTAGTAAAAATTTCTCCTCCCAGTCCCTAGCTGCTGGGAGTCTATATCTACCTCTTTCCTAAAATGGATTAAAAAAAATATCAGATAATGCTAATGCACAAAACGACCGCTCTATGAATTGTTTTAAAATCCACTCTGTTTTCGGTTCTTTGAGTTTTCCCAACATGAACAGAACAAAATACTACTTTTAAGCAACGATTAGACTTTGTAGCATATACAAGTTATGTTTTCACTTGGCCACATTGATTCTTACGTTAGCTTAATTACAGACATAAAGTGCTTGGGTTTGGAAGCAGCTACTACTTCTTCCTCTTGTACTCCCAAAGAAGCCCTACAAACTCAGGCCAAAAATGTCAGGCCTCAAAACCAAGAACTTGATCTTACTTTGCCTCAAGTTTGGAAGTTGGCAAATAAGCTGCCAATAGGCAAAGGAGAAAAAAAAAATTAACGAATGATGCTGGAGTAAAAGCACAGGGCAAGTACCCCGCTAGGGACAAACTATTATATAGCTCTAGGAGGGTCAAAGAGGGTGGCCCTAGCATCCCTTTTTCCTGTTTTCAAGTCCTTTAGGACACCAGCAGCGGGACGACGGCAGGACGTCTTAAGACTTGCAAAGTCTTGTGGATTGCCCCTCTCCCTCCACTGCTCCTCGGGTGCCCAACACCGATGCCACTGAGTGCTGCAGCCAGGGAGCTCCGCTCGGTCCCAGAGGAAGGAATACTAAGGCGCGACCGCACAGTCGCGGCAGCCGCCTCGCGCACGGGACCTGTAGAGGCCGCTCGCGCGTACGCCTCCCAGGGCAACGACGCGCGGCAGGCCGCGGCCGCCTTCGACCCAACAGCCGCGGCCTCCGGGAGAGCGAAGCTCGAAGGCCGTCGGCCCGCCCGCCCCCTACGCCTCCCGCCCAACAACGTATCGCGCGGGGAAAGGCAAAGTTTGGCTCTCGCCGTTAGGCCTTAACTTTCCCGCCCGCCCGTGCAGGTCTCCGCGGTTTCCCACTCGGCAGTCTCTCGGGCGCCGGCCTTCCGCACCGCTCGCGGAGACTACTTACTCTGGCTGTTCCCGCAGCGACAGAGTCTCCGCGGCGGCCATCTTGAACTTCCTGACTCCTCGGCGGCGGTGGCGGCGGCTTCCCGGACGGTAGAAGCTAGTGGAAGTGGAGGAAGAGGGAGAACAGCCCTCGCGCATGTGCTAACCGCGTAGGGAACCTCGGAACTCTGATTCCGCTCTAAGAATCCGGATATAGAAGTGCATCCGGGGACATGGCGCACGAGCGCCATGACGCAACTTCCGGGACGGGGGGTGGGCGTGAGGAGGTATAGGCGGCACCTGCTAAGGGTTTAGGGGTGAGTGATTTAGGCTTACCCGCTTGTCGGTCTTGGCACCCGACATTTGGTTCTGATAACTTGCTATATAAGGGAGGGAGGGAGTCGGATATCGGTATTTCGTGTGCGGTTTCGAGAGCAAGTTTCACTGAGGGGCCCACGAGTTGAGTTAATTCTCAAACGAGCGAGGGCAGACGAAATGATTTTGCTGCTGGGTTGCATGGGGACATAGTAAATTTTTTATTACTGGCTAGATAATCCAATCTGAAATGCCATTAAGGGAAAGTTTGTAGAAAGACATTTTGAGAATGCTGGGAGGTTAGGACTGTATCTAGAACGTAAATGTCTTTTAATATGGAATTATTATTAATACATTTACTTGAATCCTTTGCATTTCCTTTCAGCTTTTGCTTAATTTGGGGGTAGCAATTCGAGAGTCGTTAGGTTTGCTGGTTCAGTAGTATTTTTGATCCAAATCAATGTCATTTTTTTTCTATAATGAGTTCTACAGCAATCGATTAAATGAAACATTTTATGAGAAAATATTTACTAGCTCTTGGAGAGCTTTTAACACCAGGTTGATTTTTATATTCGTTCTCTTTCAAAAATATCTTTCTTTATACTCGAACCCAAAATCAGGGTGACGATCGCTTTTATTCTTGTAATCAACTGAGTTTGGTTTCACCATAGAAATTTGACCTCACAATATCTGGGCTTGTTATATATCTTGGTTTTCAGGAGGGAAGATTTACAAGATTTACAAATGTTTGTACAAAATGAGTCCCTCTTTGGCTTACACCTAAACGTGTTCAAAATGTTAGACGTTTTACTTTCGTGGACTCTATTAATATGGGACATTAATCCTTGGATAAGTACTGATTTTTGTGGATTCCCTCTCCTCCCTGCCTCCACTGTAGCATTTCTTTATATGGTCCTTAATTATATTGCTTTCTTTGGGAAGGATTTTTCTTTCTCCTTAACAATGAGACTCAGGTATAACTTGGAAGACATTTTTCATAGGAAAAAAGTTTTCAGAAATATGTTGAAGATGGTTTATATATTCAACCATATGTCTATTTATGTACTAATAGTGTGTAGGTTGGGATTTCAGAGTTCTAATTGTTTTCTGCCTCTAAATTCTTATCCCTATATATCTTTTCAAAAGTAGCATGAATTCAGTCTTATATTTATGGTTTATTATATTCTCTGCCCCAGCCCCCATGAAGGCAAGGCCATGTGACATTGTATCCAGATTGGCTCAGATTTTATTAAAATAACAAAAAATTATTTAAAAATAAATTTTAAAATTAAAATAGATGAACATAGTGTATGTATGTGCGAACCTACTTCAGATTTATTCTTGGAAGTAAGTGCAAATCTGTAAGAGGTCTCATCTTGGATATAAAGTAGAATATATCTCAAGGCAAAAGAAGCCTAGCGCACTGGCACCAGGAGGTAAGATAACTTATGATGACTTAGTTCCCAAGTGTGAAGCTAGGATATGAAATGAAATCTAATTCAGTCGTTCCCCTCTCTTACCCTGCTGCTTCCCACAGAAATGTCATTTGTTTAGCATCTACATGTTGAGCACCCCCCCCAAACACACACAGCTCTTTGATATTCAAATTTTTTTTTTTTTTTTTTTGAGTTAAAAGTAATGGAAAGAGCACTGGATGGGCATCCGGATATCTTGTTTTCCCTGGGTTCCAAGGCTATAGCGTCTTCCTTATTGCTGAATAGCTTATTACTGAGAGCTCATAGGCAAATCTCAATTTCCTCAACCACAGTATTATCTGCCTTGTCACCTCTGCTGTAAGATTCTTAAAAAAAATACTTTTTATTAATTATTTTTATTAACATTATAATGTATTACTTGCCCCAGGGGTACTGGTCTGTGAATCGTCAGGTTTACACATTGCACTCACCATCTAAAAAATTTCTTAATGTAAGTGTAACTGACATGCAATGTTTTATTAGTTTCAAATGTGTAACAGAGTGATCCGACAATGCTCACCAAGCTGTACGAGTGTAGCTAAGGGAAAACAGGTGGGGAGAATAGACGCTAAGCTGTTCAGGTTTGAAGCCACATTATGACTGGTTCAAACTCAGATTTGGACAAACCTTTCAAATTTTTAAAAAAGAGCATAGTAAAAACAAAAACAAAACACTTCAGAAAATGATGCTGGCAAATTTCCTTTAGAATTTTCTCGCCAATTCGCTTTCCCTTACACGGTTACTACCAGTTAGTAGGTTCCTACCGCACTAAGAGGGATTTGTCAAGAGTGCACCCAAAACAGTGTTGTAGTTTTGGAAGAATGGGGTTTAGGCAAGGCGGAGGTAAAATTAAGGCAAACAGCACTTATTACTTTAATAAGTAAGCAAACGTTTATTAAGAGACAATGTTAAGTCCAAATTTTCACTCTCCTGTTCTCCTCCCAGAGTTCGGGAACCGCCGCACCGGAAACGTGCAGACACAACCAGACCCAGCCCGCGCAGGAGGGACAGCGTAGCGGCCGAACTCACCGGCCGGAAGTCCCTGAAGAGGCGGGGTTCGGCAAGCACGCGCTTCCCGACCGTGGGCCCTCCGTCCGCGCGCCCAGGGAAGAGCGCGCGTGCGTGTGTGCGTGCGTGCGTGCGTGCGTCTGGCGAAAGGGGTGGGCGTGCCTGATGCTGGCAGTGGCCCGCGGTGGCCTGTACTCCGCGCACGGTATCCACGGCTCTATGGTGAGAGCTGGTTTTCTCGGATCAGTACATTTTCGTCGCGCCTGGAGAAACCACCCAACCTCTGCGGCGTTTCCTTCCTCGGGCCCTGAGCCTGCGCTCCTTTGCCCTCGTCAGCCTCGCCGCTCTCGGTACCTTTCTAGCCAGGGCGGTTTTCCGGAGCTACGGGGCCGATCCGACTGGTTGTGAGTAGGTCCGAGAGCCGCGGTTTAGGGCCCAGGGGACCCAGCACGCTTTGCTGACCCCCGCGCAGGCCGAACTCAAAAAAGCGGACGTTGACTGTGTTTTGCAGACAGGGAGCGTAAAACCCACAACGCTTGGATCCCCGCTACCAAACAGTACCACAAAGTGTTCTGCCCCAGAGACAAGGTTTTGGGAACAAGCATGTACTCTTGACTTTTTTTTTTTCTTACCATCTTTGGTTCCTTTTGAGTATTATTATTTTCGTTCAAGATACACACTCCAGGGGTAGTTTGAAAGTGCTTCTGAATTATGTTCCTCCCATGGAAAGAGATTATTACGGTTGGACCGCCTTAGCTGCACAGTCATCAATCCTGATAAGCTCTTAACTGGCTCGTCTTAGCGTAGGCTACCAACAAAATAAAAAGTGTATCATAAAATCCTTTGAAGAAAGCTCCTGCTCCGAGGAGAGTTCTCAGATGTCAGTTAAAAGAATGTAGATCCCCTTTTAGATAATACTTAAGGTTTTATCTAGTTTAGATCTAGACTCAGAATCCATAGCTGGGAAGACACTGGAGGCTGAATTTTTTATTATTATTATTACTAAACAAAAACTTTTACTTTTGTTTCATGAAATTTAGTTTTTTGTTTTGTTTTAAAAACAGTTCTGATACATTTATGAAAATCTGGAAAATACAAAAAGCAAAACAAAACAAAACCACCCAGAGTTCTATTGTTGAAACTGAACCAACATTAACATATTGGCTTATTTTGGCCAATTTCCATATGAAGATACTAAGTTTTCTTGTACTCATGAATAGAATGCTATAGTTCGCTTTTTCATGTAACACATCCATCTATTTTTACATAATTCTGGTTTCAGTAAACATTTTTATAACTAGGTGACGTTTCTTTTTACCTTTGTTGGTGGATGTGTATGTCATTTCAGTTTTGCGCTATTGTATATAACCATGACGAAGCGCTATTTAAGAACTGTATTTAGAAAATGACCATTCAAGGGGAGTTGACCTGGGCTTCACCACTCTGCCACTTCAAACAATTTATTTAACCTTTCTGAGCCTCATTTAACACATCAGTAACATGAGGATAATGGTTCTCATCACAAATGGTTTTTATGGGAATTAATTGAAACAATGAATGTGAAAGTACCTGGATCATATATTAGTAAACACTATTTCTACATGTAAAGTTTTTTCGACTTTTGTATTTTTAAATTTCTTTTGTTATGATTTTTTTTGGTAACATGCATGGTTTATTCCCATATTTGGTATATGGTTAAATACACATTGCATCTAAGGGTTTTTCTACATAGACTTTTTATATACTTTACTACATGAATTATTCATGAAAAGTAAGAAATTTTTTTTGCAATAAAAGTTATATTTGACTATAATTTATAAATAATTATTCACATTTTATGGTACGGCCTATTCTTTCTCACCTTTTATACATACATACATTGTTATTTTTAAGAATTGCGTTATAAACAAAGTGTTCAGTGTGAAGAAAGTGCAGTGATTAAGGAATAGGAAAAAAGCCGGAAGGGGAGGTAGTAGAATTTAGATTTCATTTCAAATGTATAGAATAAGTTTAGGGTTGAGAATGACCTGATTTAATTTATTTTGGAGGGTTCATTTGGCTGCTCTGTGGAGATAGACAGCAGGGCACCAGAAAAGGAAAGATGGAATCCAGTTAGGAGTGTAATTCAGTAATCCTCCTGAGTGATAGTGGTGGTTTCAAGTAGGGTGGAAATGGAAAAAGTGTCTGGATTCTGGGTATATTTTGGAAGCTATAGAATTCAGTGATTCTTTGGATGTGGGGCTCAAGAGACAGCGACTTAGAGGTGTGTGGCTTGAGCAATGGGATGGATGCAGTTACTGCTTACAGAGATAGAGACTGAAGGAGGAACAGATTTTAAGTGGGAAAGAAGGGTTCTGTTTTAGATCACACTTTGAAATCTTAGTGTCTTATTG